TTAAACTAATACTAATACTAATACTCTTTTTAATACAAAGATTTATCATTTAATCATAATCATATTAATAATAATTAATTTTAATATTAATATTAATTATTAATTTAGGCAATTTAGGCTTAGGCTGGCTTAAGTCTAAATTGGTTTTATAATGACTAAATTCTAAATAGTACTTATAGTATAGCAATTTTATAGTAGCCCCCCCCCCTGCCCCTATAGATAGGCCCGAAGTCTAAGTCAAGTATATATAAGTATAAGTATAACTTATGACTTAAACACTTATACTTATACATATTTATAATAAAAGGCTAATCGCTAATGGCTAATAATTAATAAGTAACATTAATCAGTTCGTACCATTTCATTTGTTTCAAATATTTCAGATCATGAAAACACACACATAAAATCCAAATTCAGAAATTCTTTGGTCAGGGCATAGAATTTAGGAATGTGCTCTTGAGCATTTGAAGCCGACGCCTTTACGGCCTTTGTAAATAAGATGGGCTTTTCTGGTAACCCGTTGGACTAGCAGGAAAACATATTATTAGTTCAAAACAACCTGTAGAATAGTTTGCCTGTTTGAAGAGTGCGTTGTTGTTGCCAGATTTTTAAGGCCACCATGAAACGTGCTAATTCTAAATTTAGAACTAAGAGCATCATTAAGTGTGTCATTGTTAAACTTAAAGGCTCTCAAACAATTTACTAACGAAAAGACAGAACTAAAGCATCTTTTTAAAACAAATAAGTAGCCTACTTTGGGGGTCGAGCGACCCTTACACAGGGATCGCCTAAGACCACCGGAAAACACATATTTATGATGTAACAACTAAAATAATTTTAAATTTTATGGTTAGGGTCACAACAACATTGGGAACTGTATTTAATGGTCGCGGCAGACACACTTTACGCTGTTTATTTCTCATAACAATTAATTATAAATCGTTCAATTCATTCATCCCCCCCTCCCCGTTTGCGTCCGGGGTCGAACGCCTCTAGACCACGGAGTAACACCACTGCATGGTGGTGCCACATGGGATTTTGCCTCTTCGCGGCGTGGACGACTAGTGGGGGGGGGGGGGGGACCCCCCGAGCCAAAAAAATCCCGACCCACTTGCATGACTTCCTACGCAACGGAAGGCTCGCACTAACATGATTACTAGTTGCCGGTAATGGGTATGAGGCAATGGGTGGCCGCCCAAATCCTTGCCGATGATTTAAAAGACGTGACCCTGAGAAAGCCGCCCCTAGGCGATTGTTTCGTCCCCACTACGTCCCGACCGAACAACTCCCTGGGCGGTGGGGAGTCGTAACGCAACATCACCTCTCCGGAGAGGAAGTAAAGCCATCCTGACCCATAGGAGAGTGGACTGCGGACGCTTTAAACGCAGCGTCTTCGGTCGACCGGACGTCCTTCAGACCAGAAGGGAGGTTCCTGGCTCGCTTCCGCATGGCCTGGAGTCGGGGAGACCCGGCTCTGGCCCCTGTGGGGGAGCGCCGGGGTGGGGTATTGTGAGTGCAAACTCAACGACCCACCGACACCATCTCCAAAGTGATGTTATTCACCCCCCCCCCCCCAAAAAAAAACAAAAAAAAAAAAAAAAAAAATTTTTACTTGAAACATTTATGGTTTAGACATTTAAATTAATTCACAAGCATAATTTAAAATATAACTTACTTTAAAAATATACTTTGAACGTTTTGATCTTAATAAAACCATAGGCAAAAAATTTTCTCACAGCTATGGTACGTATGCAGAGGCGTAGCGAGGGGGGCGGGGGGACAGATCTTCCCGGGCGCCAGCTACTTAGGGGCACCAAAATGTGCTTTAAAATTATATTATTGGTAAAAATAATGGGTTTGCGAGTTGAAAAAAAGAAAAGGGGGCGCTTTAAAATTGATCTTGTCCCCGGGCGCCAAACACCCTCGCTACGCATCTGCACTTATGGTACACACAATTAGATTAGATCAGTTTCTTAAATCTTTTTGCCTCATGCCGCACCAAAGCACCTACACATGTTAAATGCTCCCCTCTCACCCTTAAATGAAAGGGCGTCAAATTCATTTTTTTAAAATGGGGGCCACATCTAAACACATGGAACATTGAATTTTAGTTTTATCCCTTTTACAATATAATATACATAATTAAATTTGTAAACAGCTTTTTTTAAAGTTTCACAACTATAAACCATGAAATTTAGTTCAGGCCACATCCAGGTTTTTTTTTCCTTCTTCAAATTACATTCATGCATCAAATTAACACCAAATAAGTATGCATGATAATCGATAGTCATGCCAGCCAATTGGGAAGTTGGAGGGCAGTATCAACCAAATTTTACAATTTAATTTACTGGCTAAGCTAAGATTTTCTTTGTTGCAACTTTTACTGACGAATGGAATCGTATAGTTCTGCAAAAGATTTCTATTAGAGCACATGCAAATTATTAAATTTGTTTCTGTTTCATGCGAAAGAACTTTTTTTTTTCCAAAATAAATTTCATCAACCAATTTTGTAACTGTTTTCAATGAAACAAAATATAATCTTTTTTGTTTTCTGATCTTGGCATATTATAGCCTATAGGTAAAAGTAACTGCCAAAACTAAAGATAAGTTTGTGTATTTTATAATTTTGCAGCTTTAAGTGTTGTTGTTTTTTTAAATCTTTATTTAGAGTTGTAGCCAAGTACAATAGGACATAGATTTAACTATTAGCTAATAATTTAAAAATAATATTTGATATATTTAAAATAAAAGAAAATGATGTACAAGAAATGCTTATATAGTAAATATCGGTGCGATTTTGGGGACCATTAAATAATATTTTTTGTTGTGAGGGCGACACACATCTAGTAGTCTCGTAGTTCTTGGGGTGACACACATCTAGTAGTCTCGTAGTTCTCGGGGTGACACACATCTAGTAGTCTCGTAGTTCTCGGGGTGACACACATCTAGTAGTCTCGTAGTTCTCGGGGTGACACACATCTAGTAGTCTCGTAGTTCTCGGGGCGACACACATCTAGTAGTCTCGTAGTTCTCGGGGTGACACACATCTAGTAGTCTCGTAGTTCTCGGGGTGACACACATCTAGTAGTCTCGTAGTTCTCGGGGTGACACACATCTAGTAGTCTCGTAGTTCTCGGGGTCTAGTAGTCTCGTAGTTCTCGGGGTGACACACATCTAGTAGTCTCGTAGTTCTCGGGGTGACACACATCTAGTAGTCTCGTAGTTCTCGGGGTGACACACATCTAGTAGTCTCGTAGTTCTCGGGGCGACACACATCTAGTAGTCTCGTAGTTCTCGGGGTGACACACATCTAGTAGTCTCGTAGTTCTCGGGGTGACACACATCTAGTAGTCTCGTAGTTCTCGGGGTGACACACATCTGGTAGTCTCGTAGTTCTCGGGGTGACACACATCTAGTAGTCTCGTAGTTCTCGGGGCGACACACATCTAGTAGTCTCGTAGTTCTCGGGGCGACACACATCTAGTAGTCTCGTAGTTCTCGGGGCGACACACATCTAGTAGTCTCGTAGTTCTCGGGGTGACACCATACCGGACTTTTCCCGACAAGTTGCTAGCATTAAGTTGCAGAGTCGTCGTGTGGGCTATGCAACCCCGGCGGCTGCATGGGCCATCGGCTATTTAAGGGGCCAAAAGTTGTAATGTTGAAAAAAGTAGAGTATCAATTTGTAATGGGGAAAGGGGGGGGGGAGGGGAATACTCAAAACGTGGCAGGGGGGTCTCCAAAAAAGTTACGCGCTGGCTCTATCGATTTGGAATTGGAAAGATTGGCCCATGGCCCATGGGAAAGGTAGAATGTAGATGTTAAGTAGTCTCAAATGACCGTTTTCACACTAGCATTGACAACTGTTAGTGTTAAGAATTAAAATTAGTCCTGACACATATCTCTTCAAGCAATATTTAAGTTATGACAGATTTAAAATAGGCCTATTTAATTTTTATTCTAGGCATGATATAGGCCTACTTACTACATTATCGTTACTGTGGTGCAGCATTCATTGATCAGCTGATAGACACACTATAATTATGCGGCGCCTAACAGTCTACATGCCTTTATAAAACAACGTCTGTTACTCTTAGCCCTTTCCTTGCTTTGGTGGTGGTTTGGGTGTGGGGATCTTCCCATTGATCGTGGAAGGTGGTGAGTTACTATTTGGTTAATTTAATTTTTTTTTTCATTCTTGTTTCAGCAAACGAGGAACACCTTGGAACACTTCGGAATGCCCAACTGTTCCACAAGCTTTCTTTCCGCATAGTTTAAGGTTTCTGATCAAGAAATTCCTTACCTTCCACAGCCTCAATGTCATTCGTCGATGTGTGTGTGTGTGTGTGTGTGGGGGGGGGGGGTTGGACTCTCTTGTTTGTTTGCAAATGTCAAAATGACCTGATAGAACTAGAACCTTAGAAAACACCAGTGGAGATTCTAGAGATCCCGGCTTCATCACCAAGATGACGTTTTGAGATTTTCAAAGCATCATTTCAGAGACAAACTCAAATGAAATTGCCGGGACATAGTGGGATCTTAATTCTTTGTCCTTTATAGAACTTCATTTTTTTTTTTAAAATTGTTTTTGCCATTCCCCTTGTCTTAATGAATCTTTAGTTGGGGAATTTTTAAAATAGGAACAAACAGTTGAGGAAAAAAATATGCTTAAGCCGCAAATTTTTGCATATCCTTCATTGTCATAGATCGAATGTGAGCTAAGTTTGTTTACTGAATAGGGGCCATCCATAAATGACATCATGCTATTTTTTTTATATATTTTAACCCTACCTCCCCTTATTATCACAAATTTGTCACAAAATTTGGATAACATCATCACAAATTCATTGCCCCTCTTTTGTGTTTTACGTCCTTTATGGATGGTCTTATAGATCACTATAATAAGTCTATGTAATGAATATGAAAAATCCACTTGATTATATGTAGCAGTATACATTTGGCAACTAATTTATTCAAAATAAAAAAAAACCCACAAAAGTTATGTTTAAATATTTTTATTCTACTGATTGCATGTGTTTATTTAAACAGAAAAATTGTGGTCTGGTTGTCCACTTTGAATAGACTTCAAAAATTATTTCACAAACATATTTTTCAGTGCTATGTCTGCATTTGGAAAATTAAACAGCTTAATAGTTGCATGGTCAAAAGTAAATGAAGTAGTCATTACATTGTATGGATATTTTGCAAGTGGTATAGCAATTTTAAAAATGTTAATTTAATTTTTTTAAATTTGTCCATTTGCAACTGTTGATTTAACTTTTCTCCATTTACTTAAGATTATCAAAATTAATTGATGCTAGGAAAAGGGTATGACTGCAATAAATGTTCTCAAAATTATCATAAACCAAGTTGGCTAACAAATTATTTAATGCAACAGGCTATTAGGTATTGATGTTTTAAAAACTATCAATATTATTATGAATTATAGTTAAAATAAATATATGTGCAGCAAAAGTTCTACTTTGAATCATGCAAAAAATCTAGGGACAATAATCTTTTGTTTATCTAGCAAGTCTCTAGAAGATATTTTTTTTAAATGTTAAGATTTGGAAATGAAAAAGAAACTTTAAAATATAAGAGTTGATGCAGATGCCAACATTTATAATGTGATATTCAGGTACAGAGTGTGATTTCAAGCTGCATTTTTTTGTTGGTACATGTTACATTTTTAAAATAATAAAATCAAAGAACAATGAAAGACATAAATGTTTAACATAATTTCAGAGTTGACAGCACAAAGCAATAATATTCTCCTTAAAGTTTGCATATACATACATTTATCTATGTCTGCGTTTGAAATATTTTTGTAAAACATTTATTTTACCCTTTTGAATTAAATTTAAAATATATATGGTAATTGAAAAAAAGGTAAGACAAAAATAATGTAAAAATTATAATTTAGTTTTGAAATTCGGTCAAGGGAGATAAGTTATTTTAAACTAATTGTTTGTGTAATGTTTGTCTTCTTGCTCTACCATAAGAGATTGATCTATTTCAAATGACCCATCTTAGAATATCTTAAATTATTCTTTAAAAAATGTCTTTGCCCTTGATGTATCTGTATTTAGGTTAACTTTTATATTTATAGCAATTTTTTTCATTGATATCTGATTTTAATTATGCGCGAAATGGGCCATTTTTTACTTCTTTTTGTAAGACTTTTACTCAATTTTTTGTAATAATAACAACTCTAATTTATGTAAGAGCAATATCAAATTAAACAATGATAATGACAATAAAAATGTTCACAAATTTAAAAAAAAATTAAGAATATTAATTCTTAGCTAACATATCTCAGACTAATAACTATAGAGTGGCTGCATTTTTCTTGATTTTACAATCAAACCAGTGAAATAGTATAATTCAAAATCACAATAAGCAAAAGCGATAACATTTACATTATATAAATATCTTTTGATGTGCTGATTTACTAACCTTTGTGGTAATACTAGATAAATTAAAAAGCCCATTAGTTTACAATTATCACAGTCAGGATCATGTGCAGTAAAGAAAACAACATTTAAACAGTTATAAAAATATGCAAGATATTTTTAATTATTTTTAATGTAAACTTAAAACTGGTATATGTAAAACATAAATTTGTGCCAATAATTCACTCATTTAAAAGCTAAAACTGTTAAAGATTTGGCATTATGTGAGACATCTTTTATAAAACTATCATTTTGGCTTGTGTGTTGTGCAAATTTAATATGCCAGAGATGCCATCAAACATCTCATAACAGGCAATTGGTGCATACTTACTTTAAGTAAGTAGTTCTAAAAACAATCTGACAATGTACCCATCTTAAAAATAAAAAACGTTATGAAGGATATTTTAAAAAAAAGTTTGTTACATTGTTATATGTCAGATCAATCATGATGTTTCAAAATAATAATTGAGATAACAACTATGTTAGCTTAATATTTGCTTAACTTATGTAGTTTTATTAGATTAAGCAAGGACTCAAAATTATGGGATTTTGTATCAAAATTTGTTGGGTTCTGGAATGTCATTGCATTTATATCAATATTATTGTCATTTTAAAACAAAACATATTCCTTATCATTGGCACTGTAGCAGGGAAACATCAAGAAAGTAGAAAAAATTGTATAATTTATTTTTAAAATCTGGAATCTAAGAATATTAAAATAACTAAGCGAATATTTGAGATCGATAGAGAGCTTGATGTTGTTCCTTTACAGCTAATCTAAGATCTTTCTTCTGCTGACCAACTTTTTCAATCTCTTGGAACTGTTTCAATCGTCTTAGTTTAGCATCACGGTGCTGTTTATCTGAAGCTGCAGCCTTTGAATCTTGTTCATCCAACTGTGTTGTCCATGCCTTGAGACGAGCTTCAGTGTTTTGCTTTTTAATTTGCTAAAAGTCAAGACAGTAAAATAAACAAGACATTTAAAAAAAGATTAATCTTTTTATGTCTAAAATGCATAATAACATTGAGAAAATAATTTGCTTACCTCTCTTCTTTGCATTGTTACTTCAATCTCTTTATCTCTTTGAGTTTGAATTTTGTCTCTTCTCTCTCTTCTCCTTTGAAGTGCCAAAAGTCGCCTGATGAAAAAAGTAATAGTTTGAATTATGTAAAAATAATTTCAATTAAAGCAAGTCAAAAAAACATTCAAGAATAGAAATAATTTGAGATAATGGGGTAAATATTATTTTTTAGGAAAAAATAACGCATATTTTGGAAAAAAAATTACCTAAAAATGTGTAACATTAAATTTAAATTTTCACTTCATCTGAAAAATTTGTTTGGAGATGTGTCTTTGAATTTCTTTGCCATAAATTTTTCAAAACAGTATCTTAATTTAAACTTACTGTGTTTCCTTGTCTACTTCTTCTTTTTGGTTTTTTTCAATTCTTGCCTTTAGTTCAGAGCTTATTTTCTTTTTTGCTTCTCGTACTTTCTCAATGTCTGTTTGTTCTTTTATCTGACGTTGCCGATCTCTTTCCATTTGACTGATGATACGTTCCCGATGGTTATCCTGCATAAGGGCTTTGACATGGTCTTCATCTGCCATCCTTAGGTGCCAATCAGCCTCACGTTTTAATACCCGCCTGCGCCTATAACATAAAATAACACAGTCCTTTTATTTATATAAAAACTAATCTTTTAGAGTTTAAACAATTTGATAAAAAAAAATTGAAACTGATAATGTTAACTATCTATTACATTATAGGTAAATCGATTCATTACAGTTGTGGAACATAAATACATTTTTTTTATTTGCTATCTTGCGTATTTGATCAGTGAAAATGTATGCAAAAAATTTAGAAATTCTCATGACAAATAATGTGCCCCCCCAACCCTATATAAATATATGGCATCATTTATGGATAGCCTTTGTAAGGAATTAGATAAAATTGACCTGTTTGCCCTGCGAGCTTCCTCTCTTTCCTCAGGTGTCATTGCTGCGATTGCTCGAGAAGTCACTACATAATTACGGTTCTGCTGATAGCCTTCTCGTTTTGGTGGGGGCTTGGGTCCACTCAGGCATTCCTCCACTGAATATGAATGATCATGCTTTGCAAAAGTATCCACAAATTGAAATGCTGAGTTCTGCCATTCCACTTTAAGAAATAAATCAACATTTTTTTTAAAGACATTAAACAAATGAGAAGGCAGTTAAAAGTTTTATTTAGGTTCCATAAATATAGAAATATGTTTTAAAATGAAAATGTAATTGAAATGAAAAAAAAAATTAAATTAAGTATTAAAGGATATTATTATTAAATGTACAAATTAATTTCTAAACTTTATCAAATGTGTATTCTGGACAAGAGAAAATTTCACCAAAAATGCTACACCCTTTTCAAGCAGTATCTTTTTTTGTTGAAAACTTTTAGGAGTACGTAACTTTTTTAATCTTAAATTTATTTAGCTAATTGTGAAAAACAAACTTTCATTGTACTTTAAGGAGCATGACGTAATCATGTTCAGAGGCATTTCCTGGGGTGGGTAGGAAGAATATGATCAAGTTCCATACTTTCCTCATATTTTTAAAGTCATTAGGAAACATAAAGAGATTTTATAATTACCATTATATGGTGGCTCTCTTTGATCCCTTGCCTCTAGAGGAGCTTGCAAAGCTGTTTCCCTGAAAGGGCCAGGACTTCTTGCTCTCCTGTTATCTGCTGCACTGATACCAACATCACTAACATTTGGGCTAGGATCATTGCGCCAGTAATTCCATTTTGGTCTCCCTCTTAAACCCTGAGATCTGTAAAATAGAAGACTTGAGTCTGTGTTAACCCCATGATCTGCCCTACCTTTTGGATTTCCATACTCATCAAAAGCAGAATCATCGAAATATGTGGGTCCATCTCCAACATTTATTTCTTCAGTATACCCATCTCTAAAATGCACAGACTTTTTCAAGTGGTTTTCTTCTAAATTATTTCGTTTGTCAAGAATTTTTGAATTAGCCTCTTTGGTGGTTACTGATCCTTTGCTATCACTCTTTGAAATTTCATCCACTGCCATTGTAAGCCTGTGCTCCATCAGCTGTGACATTACACGGTCATCAAGTTCTTTTTTTGTCATATTTGTTCCAGGAATGATCGTTGTGCCATCATCAGCCGCCTTGGTGTTATCAATTGTTCTATCTGATTTTTGACGCCTGCTAACAACAAATGGGGGATAACCATAATATGCTGGCAGGTATGGTGGATATCTATACAAATAAGGATCCCACAAGAGGGAATTGGGCTCCACTACAAATGGGTCAACAACAGGATAGTCCGGAGGGTCAGCAATAGGCCCAGTGGATGGATAACCTAGTAAAAAGAAATAAAATAACAAATTATGGGGGTCAAGTTTAGAAACAGTTATTACAATTAATATAATCATTAGAGAATATTTTTAGCACTGGGAAGCTAAACATATTTTAAGTTAATCATAGTCAAGCATTTAAATAATATTTAAATTTATTAAAACTGACATGGCAATTCTTTAATAATTTTAAAGATTATGGATTTAAAAAATAGAACTAAATAAATGTACAGTTTTTGTTGATGTTTCAGAAATGGTGAGTCTTGCATATTATATGGATTAGCAACATACTCAAGTAGTTAATTTTGAAATTTTAACTTATAAATAAGATTTATAATCCACCTAAAAAGTAAAAAAAAAATCATTTACAGATATTATTATTGAAGTCTAACCTGGTAAATTATCCATAGGATAATTATCAGCATAAGAAAGCAAGCTCTGTCGTGCTTCCTTAGGCATCTGAAGCTCAAGGGAAAGCCTTTCATAAACAGATGGAGGAAGCCAAACAGCTGTTTCTTGTGGTATCTTTTCTGTTCGGCCATTACTAAAGGAGACTGTAAGAGATCTGTCATCTGGACCTGGCAAATGCAAATAATTTTTTAAGAGTTTCAACAATCTGGAGACTCCTGAAGGGGAAATTATTCAGACCCCTTGATCTAATTTTAAGGATTTTAAATGACCCTTAATTAAATCAGATTTATCAAGAAATCATATGCTCCATTAAGACTTACACTTTAAATAAGTGTGCAACATTATCTCTCATTAAGAGATAAATGTTTCTAAATGACAACAAATCCTGGATTAGCTGAAGACCCTCTGGCTGTTGGCATGACAGGTATAAGATAAACAAGTCAACCCAAGGTTGTAACTTTTTTTTTTTTTTCATTTAAAACTAAATGTTACAACCATTTCTCTTTTTCAACTATTTTCACAGCACTTGAACCTCATTAATGGAATTATAAAAATTGAATCTTAATCTGTCTTTATATATCCATATAAATTTTCTAATAAAACCTCCTTTTATTTAGCTTCATAGGTATTTAGATACAGTGGCTTGTCATACAACCGTTACTTTGAGCGTACAAACATGGGATAGCTAGCCTAGTTGAAAGGTACCTAAACCATAAGTTCAGTCATTTGCTTAGAATTTAAGTTTCCCTGTTGTGCTGGGTGGCAGAGGGGTTTAAACTGAGTCAATCCCAATAAAATGCCTAGACCAGCAAAAACATCACAAGCATCCTGGGTGGATGGGACTTGTTAATCTGCGATGGCAACTCATCTAAAAGAAGGCAAACTCTGAAATCAAATCCATAGATTGAGTCACGTAGGTGTTATGACTTTGACACATTGAAAATTCTGACCACTCCTGTGACACAGAATGCATAAAGAGCACAGTGAAACACATAAGACACAATGCTGGTGTATTTCCATTCTCTTGTCCTTGCCATTGGATCAAATAGGTGAGGAAAACAAAGTGAGGCTGACAAATTGAGCAACTCTCCCTCACTTTAAACAAAATACAGCTCAAGTCAAGGCTACTACTCAAGGACGAACAACAACAGGTTTCCCTGTACTCTATAACTTCTAGTTCTTTGTAATTATATGAATACCATATTATAGCAATAACACTATACAAATGCAGTTTCTGCATGCAATAACAGACATTTTTAATATTTAAACCATTTCCTTTTTCCCCCCTTCTACTAAATATCTCAAACCACATTTCCAAGGTTACCTTCTGCATGTCGTTTCTCATGACCATCAATTACTATTCCTGGTGCAAATCTTTCTCCTTCTGGTTCCCAAGGGGCCAAAACCCGGTCTCCTGTGATGATTGTATGCCGTAAAGCATCAGGGTAGTCAACTATGTCAAAGACATAAGTGTCCTGATATTCTGTTTGTCTGTATTTTCCATGTTTGCAGGGACCAAAAGCTACAAGAAACTTTTCACCAAGGCACTGGAAATAAATTTTAAATATTAAAATATTGTTATTTTTTAAAAAGATATTTTACAGTTAAATAATGTAACATCAATGTAACAAAATTGCATGTTCTTTATCCATTACCATCACAAAAAGCAAACACAATATTACTTCACATTCAGTGGTACCATGCTCAAAACAAAACAAACATATAATCCAATTGGTCTGAAGTTTATCATTTATGTATTGGTATCCATTAGACTGATTGTATTTATTCATACACAATGAATGGGATAATTTATTATTAATTTTATCAGATCATTCCATCATAATTGTATTTGACAGGTAATGGAACATACCTGGCTTTGCACTGTTGCTTTGTAAAAAAAGCCATCTTCAATTCTCCTTGCTATAACCTTTTTTCCTACCAGCACGCTTCCAGCAGCTGGAGACAGTCCTAACAATGGGTCAAATAACTTGTCCTGGGCTTTAAGCCATGCCTTGGCTGGGCGATACCTTGACCAGTAATAAGGGTAATAATAGCGAGTGGGACCGTAGCCTACTAATGGTGAAGGCAAGACCAGGGGACTTGGTTGGTACAACATTGATCTAACACTAGGAGTCAAACCTAACACTTCATCTGGATCAATCTGAAGTGTTGTAGACACACTGCAAGTTTTTATGTTAGGCCTGAGAGTGTTATTTACAGTGTGCACGATCTTTTCATGTGTATGATCAGAGCGATATATTGGAGTTACTCGCTCTACACAGCCATGAGTGGTCAGGGTGACAATATGAAAAGAGCCGTATGTCTCCACAGCTAGATCTTCTAGAAACTCTGTGGCAGCTTCATCTGCAGTTTCGCCAGTTATGTAGATGCAGTGTATGCGTCGATTTCCACACACACCAACAACATTATCCAATACTTCTTCTGGATACTGATCTGGTAACCCATCAGTAACAAGATAAATAGCTTGACATGAAGGATCTGACAGTGCTGCAAGAAGAGCATCTTGCGTGTTGGTGCCTGTTTTTGCCTGTAAGTCCCTTACCCATTTGCCAGCAACAGCCACAGTTTCAGGTGTGCACTTTACGAGCTTATCAGCCCATTTGGTAACCTGGGAGTTGAATTCAATCAAATTGAACATTGGCTGATTCTCTTGAGAAGCAAGGGCAAATAGAGTCTCCATCAGATGATCTTTAACTACATCCAGACATTGGAACATGCTTCCAGAGGTGTCAATACAAAATGTCACATTTCGTTCAGGAACTCTACCAAATATTGTTGGTGGACCTTGTTCTACAGCCATCTTGGGATAAACTGGTAGACTATGGTTCAAAATAACAGATGGTTGTTGTGAAGTTTGGAATATATGGTTTTGAGGATTAGGTTCAATAGACAATTCTTCATCTAGAGGAGCTGATGGATTTAATCTTGGTTCCTCTACTGCCACATTCTCACTTAAAAGATGGGTTTTGATTGTATCTGTATTTGTTTCCTCCTCTGACATGGTTTCTAGTCAATTTTGTCTGAAAGCAGAAAATTGTTATTTTTTTTTTAGGCTTTGATCTACTCCATCAACGTGCCCATAGTCAATAGTGTCAGAGAACAGTTCTTAAATAATTGTATGATAACGACCATTATAATTTTTAGTAACCAGTAAATTACTTGTCTCACTCATTTAATACTGATACTGATAGTAGTGAAGTGATAGTGATGCTTACTGGCACGTACTAAATTAAAAATAGAATACTTTTTGTTAGAAAGTGTCTGGCTACCAGCCTAATAGCCGCCGATAAATGGTGACGACGTCAACATAATTTTTACTTCAAATTTTGTTTGCAGACTAATTATTTCTTGTAATAATATAAAATAAACAATACCATAGCCGGCAGATCGTAGGAGCCAGTTCATATTTCAAATAAATGTTTTGTCAGGAAACATTCTACAAACACATAAAACAATGCAGAAGGCACTGTATGCTTTGGTTAGTGTGACTTGCTGAACACAGTCTAATAATATTTCAACAGAGACAGAGATAACTTTTGTTTTTCTTTCTTCTATTTTTTTTCCAGGAGATGATGATGATGCAGAGGTTAATGAAGATCACAATCTTTAAATTTAAAAAAAATAAAGAATACTTTTAAGTTTTAAGTAACCAAAAAAATTATCAGCGGCTACTAGGCTGGTAGCCGGACATTTTCTAACCAATAGTATTCTATTTTTAAATGGGACCGCCATTCTGAGGAGTGCCTGCTTTAACTTGATTACTATACTATGCATTATTATGCACTATGAATGACTGAATCATGAACTTAAGCATACTATGACTACTACTACTACGGCGTAGTCGGCAAACACAAGACTCAGTCTAACAACACTTCCTTGCTGTTGCCCTAATTAAATTCATTTTAATTCCAACAAATAAAGAATAAAATGCGAAAATAAATACGTTTTCATATACCATTTACCTTATTTTGTTTAAATTTAAACTCTATTTATTAAAATTTAATTGCGTGTTTGATCCTTTACAGTACACGACAAGCCCAACCATTCGGTGTTTATGCGAAATGCACTTGTCGCTAGGGAGCCATCTTGGTAGAGGATCATTCATTAATAGGAGAGACACTTTATTTATAAATATAAAATTACTGCCTTTAACTATTAATATATGACTTATAATGTAAATTATCTTGTAATTATATTTAAATTTTATAAAAATGTATAATTTATTCTACGGTATTTTCCTATTTTGTTATATTAAAAGCGTTATCACTGTCTTTAATTTAATAAATTTAACACACTACTCCAAATAATTCGGGCACCTGCACATACAGATAAATATAGATCTGTGGGCACGTGTAGAAAAAAAAAATATAAATAACTATTTTTAAAAATTAGCAAAAAAATATTTTATTAATCTTTCCATGAGACGCCGGACATTTTTACATAAAAATAAAAGTTTGAAGATAAAAGTTACGAAAAAAACAACTTTGAGAAACGATAAATTAAACCAACCATTTCGATAACAAAAAGGCGAAAACCAGCAAGTCCCATCACTCTTAAAAAATGTATCACTGTTTATAAACATATGATGATAGAATAGAGGTTACCACTTTACTCAAAGTTCTTATTAGAAGACAAATTCAAATATTGACTCATTATGAGTATGGGTGTTGTGCATGATTATGGGCCCCCTACTCATGGCCGGCGCTAGGGGGTGGCTTCCCAAGCCCCTGGGCTTGTGGGGACCCTGCGGGTCCTCCTGCGCTTGTCACTTGTGGCGTGGGGGCCCCGCGCGTAGCCTTAAAACTTATTTAAAACTTATTACAACTTATTCCGTATAAGTTATAATTTTATATTTCAAATGTTCTTAACCCTTATAGTCCTGGCCCTGTCCTAATAGTCACGATTTATATAATATAGTGCTAGTTGCAGTGGCGTAGCTAGGGTTGGTGTCACCCGGTGCGGTAAACTCATGGTGTCACCCCAAACCCCCCCCCCCCCAAAAAAAAAAATTAAAAAAAAAAAAAAAAATGCCCTGTCCTAATAGTCACGATGTATATAATATAGTGCTAGTTGCAGTGGCGTAGCTAGGGTTGGTGTCACCCGGTGCGGTAAACACATGGTGTCACCCCAAACCCCCCCCCCCCAAAAAAAATAAATTAAAAAAAAATAAATAAACCTTCCATGATGGATTTCTTCTTTTTAAAATAAGTCCACATTATAATAATGACAAGAACAAAAACACATAAATTGAAGGTCATGTAGTCAATGTATTTAAAAACTGTAACAACATTAAGTTATAGTGATTTTTTCTTACATTAAATTAACTTCATTTAAAATGTTGCTTTTCTTTGTCTTCAAAGTTGCAAACCTGTCAATCACTTGATCAAAATCAATGTCCTTCACTGTATCACTTTCAATTAATAGCAGAGCCACATCAGAAAGCCTAGACTGCCCCAGGGTGGATCATAAATATTTATTGATAAGCCTTAGTTTTTAAAAGCTCCGCTCACAAGGCCTAGCGAGAGCATTGGAAGAAATTCAAGAAAGTCCCATTCAGATATGAATTTCAAAACATCAAATACTGACCAGTCCATGATTTTGTGAAATTCAATTTAAGCTGCCCTCAGATGTTTTCTAAGCCTTGGTATTTCTTTTAAAAGTTCATCTTCTGATAAATCATCATAGAAATAAGTTATTTTTGGAACGGACACCAATAACTCTTCTTCACTTGCTGATACTAGACTCTTGGGTTGAACAGCCCCAAGCATATCTGCTACTTCCTTGATCGCTGATGATCTGATCTGGAGTTCAGAATGAAAGCCTCTCCCTACAGTTTTCTTCTCGCAGAAAGAGTCCAGCATCTATTAATAGTTCTCCTGCTATTCCCTTTTTAAACCTTAATCTTCTCTCTACCGAAATTCAATATTTAGTCTGATTTTAAAAGTGCCTTTTCGATAGCATGTTCCCCAAATGACAGAGATTGTCGTGCAGAAAGAATCTGTTGTAACAAAGAACACGATTTTTTATATAATTTAATTTAAGTATATTTAGTCCTCATTAACCCCCAAGATTTTCATTTTTACCCCCCTCCCCAACCGGCTTGTGGTAATTTACCCTGGTCTGCAGACCCCTGATATAGATCTAGAAGCATAAATAAGCATACGGTTATGCCAATTTCGTCTATTTTTTATTTAAAAATTTTAATTACATTTTTTTGGAACATATACTCTAAAACTGAGTAAAAAAATAAATTTAAGCTTTTCTCCCTTTCTACTCAATGGATTTGTGTGAAACTAAAGTGCTGTTGTAAAAAATTCACAAAATTCATCAGCACCCTGGCATTTGGACCCATTTATTGGACGGTTGCGGAAAATTTCAAATATAGTAAATAAAGAAAGATTTCAAAATATAGTTTTATAGCTGAATTAATCATGGTGCTTATAAATTTTCAAGTTTTAGTGTACTAAAATATCACAGATACTTCAGTGAACTATGTTGGCATATTTTATACTATAAATATTTAAGACTTAAATAGACTGAATTTATGCTCAGTTTTACAGAGATTATGGAGTGTAGGAAAGGTTTGAAATTGCTTGGCTGTGGCAATCGCACATACAAAGCTGTCATTGATACTTATTTATCAAACTGTCAAGCAAAAATATCTAAAATCTGGCGATGCAATTACACCTCATCTGCCAATTCAACTAATAATAAACCCTATATACCAAGGAGAACTGTCATGTATGTACCAGGTCATGATCCTAAAAAATTAAAAAAGATTCCTCATTTGGGAGTGGACTGCGCTGTATTAGAATGTGAAGATGGGGTTGCAATAAATATGAAGGTAAGAGGGTATATAATTCATATTCTTGTCATTTTTATTGAAAAAGTTGTAAATAAATTATCATTTATTATTTTCATTAGATAGAGCAAATTAAATTTTATTTATGTAAAAAAACTTTACATGTGAATTATTGGAGGAAACGTTTAAAACTGTTTTCAAAAGCCATAGAATAAATTTTAGTCTTTTGTTCCATATATTTAACTTGTTATTGGGAACTAATGACCAAAAAACCCCTTTCCTAATGTTTTTCTTAGGCTGAGGCAAGAAAAAACATAAGGGATGCTCTTGAGTATTTAGATGTGAAAACAGCTGACCTTGCCCTTCGTATTAACTCTCGATCTAGCCAGCTTATGGAAGCTGATTTAGGAGCCATAATAGGAGCTGAGCTTGGGGCAAAGGCAAATGTTAGACAGCTTCCCCAAACTATTCTTTTACCAAAAGTTGATTCTGTTGAGGATTTGGTAATTGTAAGTAAATCATTTAAATATTTATATGAAAATAGTTAATTGATTTTCTATGTAATGAATTGATAATAATTTACCGAGCTGACTTAATGTTGAAAGCAAACAATACAGCTTATTTTAAGATATAATCTAATAAAATTACTTTAAAATCACCTGAAAAATATTTTACTAACATTTAAAATCTGTTAGGACAAATGAAACCTGATGGTTCATGTTTTTCTGCCACACTCATTGCCTCATAAATGAAAATGCATGCAAAAAAATTAATGAAATAACAATTCAGATAACTTCATAAATAGATCTGTAAAAATAATAAACAATGCACAGTTAGCTTAAAAAAAAATTTCCTACCAAATCGAGTGAATGCAAGGCATCTTTTAACTTTTCAGTTTAAAATATGTTTACTATTGTTGAACTAAATATATATGCTGTTTGTTTACTTTAAAAAAAAATTATGGAAAATGCAAAATGACTGTTTTTTTTTTAAATTATGGGTTAAACTTAAACAAAAGTGAGCAGCTGTTTAACATCATAATGTATGAACTTATAAAAAAAAAGCCAAAAACACAAATTATTTCTTTCAAATTCCTAATTTTTCAGTTCTCTGAGACATTAAAGTCAGTTAAGCTGGACCGGGGGTACTGTCCATATCTACTAATATATGTCGAAAGCTCTCAAGCACTGCTTAATATGAGGGACATTCTGAAGATTGGAACTGATTTAACTCAGTTAGGTGTTTTTCAGCTGGATGGTGTAATATTTGGGTCTGATGACTTTGTGGCAGACATAGGTTTGTGTTAGAGCTATTAAATGTGTTACACTAACTGACATTGTTATAATATTATACTCTGCACTTATTTTAAATTCATCCTAATAATAATATTGAAACCCCTTGCCAGTGCCAACATGAAATGCATTACAAATAGGAAATCTCACACTTTAAATATAATATACCTTCAGGTGCTGAAAGAACATTAGATGCTAAAGAGCTTATGTATGCTCGCCAGAAAATAGTCAGTGTCTCAAAAGCTTTCAGACTGCAAGTGATCGATATGGTTTACTTGGATATTCAAGGTAACATATTTTGGAGCACACAGTTTGCTTAAGATTCTTGCATATAATTATAAAAAATATAATTTAAGTAACATTAAAAGTTTTAAAAAAAATTAGTTTTAGAAAATTGATAGTGTAAGTGTAAACAATGATTACTTAACCCATTTATGCCTAGTGTTCATTTATTGGACAGTTCACATGTGTGGGTAATTTATATTCTACTGCTAGCGGTTATCATGGAGATCTGATATTTCACATATATGTGTCTGCTTCCTAAAGGTTCATATCATGTGCTACAAATGGTTTGTCACCATGCTGCAGTTACTGTTCTCAATGGTCCTCAAAAAGTATTATAAAAAATGTCACATTTTTTAAAATCCATCCAGGATAAATAGATATAACTTTATGATGAAGTTCCACCAACTTCAACTGCAGAGCACCACTGAAATCAAAGAGAGACAAAAAGTTTCCACAAATGTAAAAAGGCTGACTTAACTCACAACCAGCAGCAGAAAGAGCTGCAGAACCACCAAAAGATTTTTTTGACTGAAACATGAACTCAGACAGAAATTTTAAAAAAATTTTGTTGAACGCATTAAAATGTGCTTCTAGTTAGTACTCCCACTTGTATGCTGCAAGTAATGGTGTAAATCTTGGCTTGATTAGCTCTGAATTCAGCTTTTTCACAAGTGGTTTTGACTCAGTTCCCAGAAGACGTAAGTAACGAGGACAAATAATTCGAGATGCACATAATGCACTTGTTAGTTTTGACATGAGATGTGATCACTTTGAAACTATATTTTCTAATTGACATCTTGCTGATAATGCCAATCTTGGCAGAATTATTAAGTTTTCCAAGTTGTGACGTATCATAAACAAACCCATTGGGAAATGCATAAAAATGTGTCCCAAATGAAACATAAATGTTTCAGCTTTGATAGTTCCTTATTTTGGCCATCAGGGGTGAAAACATTATATTTGTGGAAAGCACATTTGAGTTGGTTATAAGCTTTAGTGTGGTGCATCACACCAGGGAAACATGTCCTTGTTTCACCCATATCAGTGTAAAATTCAGATAATAAACACGAGTAATAGTGTTGGTGCATTTAATTCCCTTCATTTGAGTGAAGCACATACACTCTTGACAAATCCCTTTAGTACTTGATCATTTTTCACCAGTTTTTGCACTTCTTAAAAATTTATTTCAGGAGTAGGTACAGTGAAAAATTCATCAGTATATTTGCCTAGTTTTCCATTTTTGGAACACCCCCATAACTCCACACTGGGATATAATCAAAAAATTTTTTTTCCTTTTCTAATTCTCATTTTGGTAATTTTTGTAGGTAATTTGTAAGAATTTCGTGCCAAAATTTTTAAAAATTATTACCTCCTGCATAAATGGGTTAAGAAATGGTAAGGAAAAATAATATAGTAGTAGTAGCTTTTTAAAAATTATTATGTTTGAATTTGACTTTTTAAATTATTATTTATTAGCTATTTCTGATAGCATCCCTATTTAGTATTTAAGTGAATGGCACCAATGCGTTAAAGAAATGTTGAATTTATTAGATATTGAAGGTTTGCAGCGTCAGTCTCAAGAAGGGGCTAAGATGGGTTTTACGGGGAAACAAGTGATTCATCCAAAGCAAATACAAATTGTTGAAGCAGCTTTTACCCCAAGCCCTGCAAAGGTTGATTGGGCCCTTCAACTTATACAAGGATTTGAGGAGCACCAGAAGTCTGGGAAGGTAGGCTTTCTAGTATTATGATGTCAGAAGCTCTCCAATTACTCCAAAACATTAAAAAAAAATTCCCAAACTATTGCTTGAAAAATTAAGCACATCTCAAGCATCACTTGACAAAGCTTATGGCTGTTGCTCTGATAAAAACAACTCTAATCATGACAGAGATAATACTATGCATAGCACACTAAAAAAAAATGTCTTCTATTTTGATTATTTTATTTTGATTTTGAAAATATTCTTTTCCGAGTAACTTTAACAAAAAAAATACAGGCAATCCTAAAGTATGATTTATACAAAATGTAAATTTAAATTAGTTTATGCTCTACAATAAATCTCCATTAAGTTAATAGGACATAATTGTTATCTCACTGGCAACAATTTAAAGGAACTATGTGAAACAAGGTGTGGGAAAACCTGAAAGTAGGACGCAACTAAACAATGACCATGTCAGTAAGAAGCCTTCTTTAGCGAAAAAAGACAATAAAAATGTAAACAATTTTTTTGCATGAAAAGTAAAGCTCAAATTTAATTTCAAATGAATATGTGAATACATTTTATTACATATTTTGTACTGTAAATATCTAGAATGATATTAATTTAACTAATTTTTTTGTATTTCATCTTTATTCCAGGGCGCTTTTGTTTTTAGAGGACAGATGATTGACATGCCCTTGTTACGACAGGCTAAAAATATTCTAAAAGTTATTGATGTTCACAAGCAAGCATCATAGCTGAGAGTTTTATTGACATGTGGCTTACTGAAATAAGTAGAAATGTTTATCAATTTTATATGAATAATATCCTACTAATAATGTGGATTTCAGTATTAAATTTTTACTCCAGACAGACATGTCATGTTTTCTTATGAAAAGTGTGGAGGGATCAAATCAATATATTTTGATCCATGATCTGACCAGGCTGAGATAACATCTACCCATTTTTTTCTATCTTATGAGGTAAAAAGCAATGACTTTATTGGTGAATAAGCATATACAGGTAGACCTGATAAAATTTGCTAAATTGATCAATAGAAAGTGATAACTAAATAAGATTTTGTGTGTGTAAGCATTGTTAGATGTCATGGTTGCAAATGATACTATACTACTGCTATAAATAAAGAAATATTAGATGCATTAGAATGTATTTCAAACTTTAAAAAAAAATCAAATATGCATCAATTTCAATCCTGTAAAAATTTAACTAGATATAATTTTTAAAAGCTAATGCCGAGGCTGGATTCTTTTAACAAATAAACAAATTGTTAAATTTTTTGAAGTTACATATTTTGTTCTACATTCATTTGTAAAGTGACCACATAACCTTGCACTGTTAACCATGATTAGCATACCGTAAAACTTAATTAAATAGTTAAGGTTATGAGTCATGTTTTGACTAATTTATTAACAAAAATGTGTAAGATCTTTTGAACAAAACTCCTAAAAATCATAGTTCAACTCTGACAATAAAAATCCAAAAATATTTCAAATCATTTCTCAAAAACCTGTAGAAGTTAAATGTTTTTTTTTTTAAAACTTGTGGACTCTTGCCACTACAATGAAATAGTTGCTCTTCAATAAATCTATAGCCATCGATGGGAATGAGAGCTGCAAGTAGCTCTTAGATTACAAAGTTGAAGCAATGTATTTTTACTTTTATTTGGGGAAAAAAATAGAAGAATTAAATTCTTTTGGTTTTAACTTTAACTAAAATTAATACTATTCTGAAATCCTTTAAAATAAAGTAAGTCCAGGAACAGTTAAGAGCTGAAGAACAAATTAAATTGGAAAATAAAAAATGTGATCATTGAAATCTTAATAAACTAACACTGTGAGTGCTTTGTGTCACTGGCGTCAGTACATAGACGACATATTTATAATTTTCTCTGTTGATGACGGTAATGAACCCACTCTTTTGTAAGGTTGCACTACATGACATACAGTTGATTTTAGTAATGCAATTGACACTTTTTTGTGTTAATATTAGTATCTTGACAGCAGTTGAATATGGGACTTTTTTGTACCTTCTGCGACTGAAACAGCAGATATGAATGGCTTAAAGACTTTGCCAGTAAGCTTATGCAGCACTGCTAAATTCCTTGGTGTCGTGAAATGATTAGGCCAGAAACCTTGTCATCCTTGGGTGATGAGTTTCAGGGAGAATTCAAATGATATCAAGTTAGCATGGCAAGTGTAGATTCCAGTATATCCACATCATCTTGTGCCAGATTTTTCAACAATTCGAAATGATTTGAACTTGGGCACATCATCTGGAAAAAAAAATTTGAACAAATTTTTATAATGAATATGTTGTCAAGTTCATGATCCTTGAACCCCCTCTACCAACAGAAGTAAAATAAATGACAATAGTATATTTTTATTTAGTTTCTTGACTTTATTTTGGACAAAGACTACAAAGTAAAAGCACTTTACCACATTTCTGAGATGGTCCCTGGCTGATTTCAGACATTCTGATACCAGTTTTGTAGCCAGAGAGTTTGCCTTAGATTCATTATCATTAGATATAGAAATTCCTTGTTTAAGTGACTTCCATAAAAATCTGAAATATAAGTTATCAAAAACTAACTGAATAGAATTAAAATTTATTCAAGCAATTTTTTTGTTTGACCTATGGCAATTTTGTTTCTAGGTACTTTTTCAGCATATCTACTAAACTTAACTAAATAACAAAATTACTAGAAAATGTTGCAATAATCATAATCACATTTCTTAAAATAACACATTTATTTATTCAATTAATTATTTTAAGAGCTATTTAGCATAATTCAAAAACTTTACAAATTTTTATAATAGTTAAAAATATATTGTAACAAAATATATGTTCAGCCACCTTGAGTAACGAAATTATCATTCTGCAGTGCATACATGTTAATGCTTTGTTTTAAGTCAAGTTTAAGAATTGGAAAATCAGCAGACTTTGTCAGTCATCATGCTATAATATAATTGTCACTATTTAACTATTAAAGATTAGAAAACTAATGTCAAATCTTGCAATTAACTTTGTGTGAAACTGCCATTGCAATAAATCCTTCTTTTTAGCTTTTTTTCTTCATTAATAGAATAAAAATATATCCATCCATCCATCCCTGTGCTGTTACAGCCCATATAGGGCTTTGGCTTGCCTCACCACGTTCCTTCCACTCAGACCTAACTTATACTTTTCTTTTCCATGCTTTAATTCCCAGCTGCGGTACATCTTTTTTTTCCCACATCATTTATCCATCTAAGCCTAGGTCTGCCTTTGAGCCATTTTCCACTTGGGTTTTGGTGGAGCAGCCTCTTCACTTTTCTGTCATTCTTTCCAGCGTAGCCTGCTCTTTTTTATTTCTGTTAATAGTGTGGGATCCTGATATAATCTATACAATTCCTGGTTGGTTCGTATTTTCCATCCATATTCATATTTTGTTGTTCCATATATATTTCGTATAACTTTTCTCCCCCATGTATTTAATTTAATAGTTTTCTTTCATTTTTGTTAGGGTCTAAGTTTCACTTGCGTATGTTACAAATAGATTACATTTTTATATATAGTTTTCTTTGATTTTCTTGTAATAATTTTACTTTTGAGTATTTTGTGACTGCAAAACTATGCCCTGTTTCCGGCCTATATTCTTTCTTTTATTTCAGTTAGCAATTCATTTCTTTCATTTATTAAGGATCCTAGGTATTTGAATTGATTTACTTTTTCAAAAGTATGGTTTCATCTGTCTGTTCTCTTATTATTAGTCATGTATTTTGTTTTTTGGTTGTTAATTTCCAGCCCTGCTTGTGGTGATACATCTTCTAATGCAATAAAAAGCTTTTGATATGTCTTTACTACTTTTCCCTAACAGAGCTAAGTTATCAGCATATGCAAGATACTAAAGGAGTTGGTTGCAGAGAGTGCCTATTGGTTGTGGGTCTTGGGTTTCCCTCAGAAAGTATCCTGTTATAGTTCCTGTCAATATGTATGTTTCTTATAACTGTCTAATGTTAGGTTAAATAGCATACAAGACATTGAGTCTCCTTGTCTTATACCTTGTCTAATCTGAAATTCCCTTGAATTTTTTCCCAAAACCTTGATTTTGCTTTTTGAGTTATTTAATGTTACATTATCAGTGTTGTCAGTTTGTTGGTTATGCCAAACTCCTGCAGAGTAAGCAATATTTATACCTCAATTAAATTATAGTTTGGTAATAACAAACATCCCATAAGATTTATGTCTTACAATAATTCCCAAGGCAATGCAGCAATTTTGAGAACTGTCATTAAAGCCCAGGAAAGTCCATCTTGATTGCAAACCAGATTCCTAATGAAAAAATGTTAATGATGAAAAACTATATAAATTCAAAAAATGTTAAGAATCTACCCATGATGTAATTAATCACTTCTATTAACTAGGTGTTCAACAATTTTAATACTCAAGTAAATAAATTAGTAATTTGCTTATAAATACTCACTTTTCTAAACCTGTTTCTTTAATAATAGAAACTTTTTTGTCCCAGTGTTGAATATTATTTGGTGACAGTTGTTTAATGTTATCTGTAAGAGGATGAAATCATATATCACATATTTAGAAAAATAAAAATAACCATAATTTTTATATAGGCCATATCCAAATAAATATAAATAAAGGTACACCCTGGATTTAGAAATTAACCAAAATTACATCCAAACTGATATCAAGTGCAAACAGCCAGGATTTTACTGATTTGTACTGACCTAGTGTTATGTAATACATATTGTGAACATTCTGTGGTAAGGTGAAGCCATAATTGACTAGTAGTCTGGTGTTATCATATGCTCCATAACAAATAAAGATTTGATCATGGGCTTCAAATTTATCCTGTGTTACTATTTCATAGCAGGAAGAACTGGTGTTGAGTCCAGCACTCATCTAGTAAAATAAAATTAATAACAGGCCATGGATTTTTATGCACAAGTAAAGTAGCGTAAATCAGAATGCAAAAAATCAGAAGCTATAAGTATTGATCATCTCAATTTAGTTATCTGCATGCACCATCAAACTCATTACAACTGAATACAATTTTGAAATAATATAACTAAAATTTTTAAAACTTGATACTTCAACAACTAATTTAATTATTTCTGTACAGTAAACAATAATTCCTCAACATTTTTTGTTTTACCTGCGCTGTGTCTTTGTGATTCAGTAAATCTAGATATGGAGCCAAAGCTACATGACTCTCATCTGGATCAACTTTTAAGAAACTGTGTGGGGTTGTCTCAAGATATACAGATCGTGTCTCTATAGTAGACCAAGCCCACATGATATCTGCCAAGTCAACTAAAGGACAATATGATGGAGCAGAGGCTTTAAGAAAGTTATTAATCACTTGACATGCCCTGTCAAATCTGTAAAAAAATAGATTGGCCGCTAAAAAAAATGAAAATGACTGATATAATTTTTAAAAATTCAGTAATATCTTTTATAATGTAAAATTTATTTAAATGGAAGTTTTTCTAAGACAACAAAATAATATGATAAATTTACTCTGGTTAAAAATTTTGTTAATGACCTGAATTGGTTTCTATATCTCGAGATAGGCAAGCAGTGATACACAAAGATAGGAATGAAATACTATCTTCTATCACCATTTAAAAGAATAACAACTTGCCTCTTTCTATACTCATCAGCCATCTGTTTACCCCTTGTTGTAAGCAATTTGATTTCATCATTTGTAAAATATAGAGGGGTTGTGTAGACTGTAGGTAGTGTGCTAAGATAAGGAAACCAGAAGGAGTTCTCTCCCTTGCACCGCTCAATGATAAGAAATATAGTAAGTAATTGTTGGGGTGTAAAACAGTCATTTCCACTACGGAAAAAAAGAAAAATTATATAATTTAAAAACAACAACTGATTTTAGATCTTTTTATGGGGATAATTTCAAATGGCTGATAATAATGGCATTAGCATTTTCTAGAAAATTTTTCAACACTAATAGGAGCATCCAGTGTCAATGTCTATACATTTTAATACTTAGATAGTCTTGTGAAGTCACAAAAAAAGAGCTAAACTTTCACTATGTATGAAGCTAGAAACTACTTTACTTAGTACTTAAGCATTTCAAATCAACCTGATTCAGCTTTTAACTTTACCTTAGAATGACAGCTCCTATTTCACTATTGAACACTGTATTGGTTGTTATCAGAAGATCTAATGGAATGGAGATGATGGTATCTCCAACCTCAATATGTCTTTTACATTTTAATCCTCTGCCTATATCTAGGTTGACAAAATAAGAATTTATTAAGCATTTTTTCAACCACGGAAAGTGCTGCAAAAAAAGTTATTTAATTTTAGAATTTATAAATTTACAATCTCTTAAACTTCCATCAAAATTTCTAAGCAAAGGTATTGATGAAGTATGAATAAATTTTACAGCTAATTAGATACATAAATGTAGCTGTATATTATAACGACCATATAATGACCATAAAAAGTAATACCATTGCAAAAAGTGTAAAAAGTGTTGCACTGCGATAAATTATGTTAATAAAATTAATATTGAAAATATATATCACATATCTTTTTTATATTATGGTATTTGAATCTATCACAATATGTCATCAATAGTAACTCACTTTTAAAATAAGCCACCTCAAGCTTCTTAATGCTTCTACCTAAACACTGCTCCTTGGAAATTGATGATTTCATCCATCTTTTAAGTCTAATAAATTCTGGTAAGTGGGATTCTGAAACTCCTAGGATGTGAGTTAATAATACAGTAAGGGTAATAATACTTAAATGTACATGGTGTTGGAAAAATAAAGTTAAAGACATTAATAAATTTATAAAGCTTTTATGAGCCATTTAAAAAAACTGACTTACAAGTTACATCCAAGGGGGGGGTGTGGGGGTTTGAGGAGGAGGGGGGGTATTGAATGCACTGGAATGCAATCAAATAAAGATAATGAAATGAAATACCAAAGACCATAATTAGTTAATGTGAATCTAACCAACAGTTAATGTGTCAACAGAAGAAAAATAAACATTAAAAAAAACAATGACTGACTGTCACTTTTCCATAAATGATTAATAAATGCTAATTTAAAATGATTTTATAACTTTTTTAATATCTACATCAATGCAGTGTAGGTACCATCCATAATTGACCTAAGTTATACACTAAAAATATACACTGTCATTTCACATAATGACATGCACTTTTCCCCCTCCCCCATCCTTTAGTCACTTTAGATGTAGGCGTAGGCCTATGTCATTAAATGATTTATGGATGACCCCTTATACATGTCTAGTACCTGGTCCTGACAGTGGCTGGTAGCTGTTCCTCCTTGACTTATGATTACGACTTCTCCCACATCTTCCTAAATTTTGCATTCTATAATTTATAATTACATTTTATTTGTAATAAAATTACAATTATAATATCACACACACAATGACGTCATGGGATGAAAACTAAGATCAGCCTCATTGGTAATATTCATTAGTATTTTTTAAAAAATTATATCTGTAAACTGTAGAGTATAGGATAAAAGGCATAGGTGTGTAGGCCTCTTAAATAAATGAGAAAACCATCCTAACCATGCATCAATATAGCTATTTTTTGCTGAATGAAAGTATTGAAAATGAACTGTTCCTAGTGGCAGTGACTGGTAAGTAGGGTCATGGTAATTCAAAACAAAATTAAGACCTGATAAAGAGAGCTGACTGAATTATCTGACGAATATTAAATTGTCTAAGACTAAGTTAGTAAGTATGACTAGTACTACCACTAGTAGGGCCTACGCCTGCCTACTAGTACTACTACTATTATTAGTAGGCCTATTACTATTAATACTAACTATTACTATTAGGCTATATGATTCGTATGCTTAAGTCAACATAATTATAATAGCATAGGTCAATTTAGTCATAGATTCGCTGAACAATAATGTAATAATATCAATATAACTTGAAAATATAGCATAGTATAGCCTTATTTTATACTCAAACTCAAAGGTCTCTTAGTAGTTCTACTATCTGAAACAAGATAATAAGCCAGTGCCCAGTGCTACATTGCTGCCACTCACATTGTCAAAACCCTTAGATTCGGTCCAACAATTTCCCTAGATTTCCCCAGATGATAAAAATGATGATTACGGTTAAAATTAAAAATCATATACTTATTTAAACGTCTATAGTCTATGCTATGGGATAGGAAACGTGATAACGCTCGAAGGGGCGCAGGTGCTGAGATATGATTTATGTCAACAAAAACACAATTTTAATTTTTTTAAACATTTTTTATATAATTTAAATTGAAAAATGGTTGGTCTACACCGCATGTCTCAAACTCAAGGCCCTCGGGCCACATCAGGCCCGGCGTACAATTATATCAGACCCGAGAGGTCTTGAAATAATATTCCTCCCAAATGCAATACCTTCCTCCTAATGCACCTGTATGTTAATAGTTGAGCATTTCATTTCAGAAGTTACAGTTGCATGGTTCTATCTATGTTATAATTAATAATAAAATATTAATAATCCCACATGACCAAGTGCACAGCATGGGGCAAATGAGAGAATCATCAAGTTTATTCACTTTAAGTCAAAAATTGTAATGAAGAACACGAAGGGGCCATTTCTAATAAAAGTTTGTGTTCTTATTTACATTCTAAGCGTATGACCCAATCACTTTGACTCTAGGTCAAACTCCAGTTCTTCACTCTAATTTATTGAACCATTAAGAGTAGATGACAGAAATTAAATAAAAATGAAGATTGAAATTTAGGTTGAGCATCTTTATTTATTTAAACATTAAATAAAAAATATATGCTATAGCACAATAGTTCTGCATGATAGTAACAGTTATAGTTATTAGAATATTGCCAAAATGTTAGTAAACTTTTATATAAAACCTATAATTATAATGTTAAGTACTTATGTCTCAACCTCCACTTTCACACATAATGAAAATAATTTTTAAAAAAAATAAATTACTATTCTGCATAAAGAAAAGAATGAGCCTCAGGGAACTCAAAGGATACGAAAAGCACCTAATGCAGAAAGTTAATAATGTTCCAACATTTAAGTTCATTAAAGAAATAATAATTGGTGGAATAGCTCCATAGATTTAAAAATCCAACTTAATTTTCTTTTAAAATTCCAGAATACAAGACAAAACTAAAAGAAATTAAGAATGTCATACAAATTGCATGCCAAAATATTTTTTGAAAATTGTATTTTAATTTTAGCTATCTAACGAAAATTCATAAAATGCAATATTTGGTAGCTTTATGGACGGAAAAAACAGAACTTGACTACATTGGGTTCTTTGTAAACAAATTAACTATTTGCAGGTAATATATATGAAAAAATAACAATTATTTATCCATCAAAAGTAAATTATAGATACTTTAACCACAAAATTAAGGTAATGCAAAGCTCAGTCTTAAAGTTAGATTATGAAAATTAGCATAATAATGGTTAACTGAGGTAAGAAGATTGTAATGAATAAATTATTTGCACAAATCTAAACTCTGTTCATCAGGCCTGTGGAGTGGCGAGAACATTTTTCAATCTCATCTCATGATGTAACAAATGGTCTAATGCCAATACAGATAGACTAAGTGATGATGAGGCTACATCTGACAATAGTTGAAATGACATTAAGATTTTTTTCACTGTTCAATCTAGAATATGAGAAAATAGTCCAGCCAAAAAATATAATAGTTTTTCATAAATCTTCAACTACATCACCCAACAGTAATTCCAATGAGAACTCAAAATATAAACAATATATGGCAGTGGTGAGCTACACATTTTTTTTTAAAATTTCAATACTAATGCTACCATTTAATTAGGAAGAAACAAAGTGAAAAAAAAGTTAACAATTAAAGTATATTTTCTTTTTAGAAATCAGATAAATATTTTATTAGGTTTACTAGTCTTTAGGGCAATATTCTAAGTCGACTTTCAAACATTAAAACTTTCAGCTGTCAAAGAACAACTAAAACACATTCTTACTCAAAGACATGACATGATCCCCTCACCCTTGTCCACATGAAGCCCCCCGTCAGAGGGCCACATACCAGACAAGATTATGAAGCCCAAAATGCCAGAGATTATAATAGCAATAATAAGGAGCGAAGTCTTTAAATTTAAACCTCTGATTTAGTCTGGTCCCCCTCATAAAGTTTTTAATAAATTCTTGGTGATTTAAGGTTATAATAATTTTGCAAATATATCAGCCAGAGTTTAAACCCTATAAGATCATATTATAAAATGCTAGCTTGTGGACATCAAGATTCTTTACAACCACCCCCCACCCCCCCTCACTTTCTAGTCATCCACATTTGAATGAATCCCCCACTCCCCTCCCCACATTTTTGCTGATATACTTTATGTACAACCCCTAATTAAATGTTCAAACGTAATGAGCTCATTATTTTTACCCACAAATAACAAGTTAAAAATCTATAAACTTTTGATGAAACTTAGTAACATGCAGATCAACTTACACGAGGCTCTAATTTTATATTTAATGTGAGCCACTTTTACTTAGCTTCAATATAATATTTATCAAGATTTCAAACAAAAACTATCCCTTTAAATTTCAGAGAGTTGTTTTTGGAAATACCGGTAATAATTAAATTATATTTTTTTTAAACAAGCAGAGGAGTGAGCTAGGGTAAAACAGGATCTTCCATGTAGTCAAAGCCTCCATCTATTTGCGAAATGCTATGGTCTGTTGTCAGATCATCAAACTGAAAAAATAAGTTACCATAAGTTTACCTAATAATAATATAAAATAAAAGTTCAGGAAATATGGTGTTATATAGAATCAGAATTGTTAGCTTGTTATGTTTTAATATTTTACTCAGTTCTTTCATGTTTGCAAAACTTCTGAAAAAGATGAGGCCATTTTTAAAAACTCACCATGTTCATAAGAATATATAATGTGATAAAAAAGAAATAAGTGAGACTTTAAAAAAAATTTATATTTTTAATTAAAACACAAACAAATCTCTTTAAAAGTTACTTTGAAGTTTAATCTTATCTTACCCCACTTTTTTCACTTCTCAATAAATCGTCAGCTTCACCAGAAATATCTTCTGCAATCTCCTCATCATCAATTTCTTCTGCTATGCTGCCATTCTCTGGTTTGCTGTCTGTTCTTGCGTTTCTGGGACTTTTTTGGCTCACTCTGAATACATCAGAAAAACTTAATTTTTAAAAATTTTTTTCCAGGGATTAAAAAAGCTGTAAGTTATATTTTGAGTTAATGCATAATTCCCAGACCTTTCATTCATTACAACCGATACTGAAGATATTTAAGACTTTCTAGAATGTACTATTTCCATGTTGGTAAAATGTTTAGCGAATTTTATCTCCACAGATCTGATTTTTAAAAAAAAGACTTACTCGCTAAAATCATCTTCATATTCATAATCATCATTCTGAGTATCTGAAATAGTAAAAGGAGAAAGCATTGATATTTTTGCATTAGTTATAAACATTGAATGTGGCAATGAGAAAGATCAATTAATGCCACTTAATAATTTAAAAAAAAAAAATTACAAGGAAATTATCTTAGATTTGAATTAAATAAAGCATAAAATGTAGGTGAATTTTTTAAAGATTGTGTGAGTCATATAATTTTAAAATAAGTAGTGCAAACAGAATAACAAGATAAGTATTACCTCCTAGTCCAAGTTCAACAATTCTTTTGTCTACTTCTCTTAGATTTTTGTCAGTGTCTGAATCATTTAATGGAGAGTCTGTTTGGAAAATACAATAAGTTTATAAGTTTACCAAAACTTTAGACATTTCTATTTTACAACCATACCAAGCGGATATAACTGATAATTTGCATTACTTAAGCCTGTAAATTAATTAAATGTCCTGATGCTCTTCCACTGCTTATATCAGAAATTAGAGAAAAATTATTTGCAACTGCACTTGGCAACAAATTAAAAATAATTATTTAAAATTACACTTCAAATAAATTCTATTCAGTAAAATACCATTTTCAGGTGTTTTTGCCCTTTCCAAAGGAGGGCCGCCAGTTAATGAATGTCCAGTTAGAGAAGGGAGATCATTCAAGGAGCTCATTCCACCACTAGTTTTCTTCCCTTTGTCAACTGTACCATTGGTTTTGATATCAGACATATATTCACGGTTCTTCTCTAGCTCACTGGAAGAAAATTAATTAAAGGTATTTATTTTATTAATAATTTCAATAACTTATAAATAGTAAATATGTACACATTTTAAAGCAAATGATTTTTTTATGAAATGGTCCAACCACAAAAATTTAAAAAAAAGATGAGCAGTGTGTAAGTATCTAAGTTTCCTAGGAATAAATTCTATTCTTCAGAGAGTCCAGGCAAATAAAATGCTTATGTCATTGAATTATTATTTCAGCAAAGAGTGCAGATCTAAACAATGTCACCATAGACCAGGATTTTATGGTGCAGGGATATCCTAGATGCCAGGGTTCTCAGGATGAGCTCGGTCTTCTAGGGAAATGGCCTACTAAGCTGCACCATCACAAATCCCCAAATTACTTAGAAAGTGTGTCAAACTATCCATGGTTGCAAAGATTATTGATTTTTTAAACATAAAAAAGTTATATTATATTATAAAAAGTTGAATCACACATTGTATTTACATAGAATGCAGCTTAAAAAAATAATTTTTGAATAAGGCTAAATGTATGCTTAAAGAAAAATATATATAATAAAACCAAGACAACTGAGGATTGAGAAATGGATCAATAATAGTTTTCTAAGTCAAAGGAAGCAATATTTTAATTTTTAAAAATAAATACAGGTAAATTTAGCATTCAACTAATTCAAGAGAAATCAAATTAACAATTTCTAATAATTTGCAAGCATTGTGTGCATAATAAAGTAGGGTAAAAAGGACAGTGCAAGCATTGGTAAGATGTTGGGCTTGTGTAAACTCAAAATAAAAACTCAGTATAAGATTAAAACACATTCTGACACATCCAGGAGATTTGACTCTTTAGGGCAGCAATTTAAAAAACCAAGATTGTGATTTTTGTGTGCCAATGTCATGCTGTCAAACACAGACTTGTGCATACTATTGCATGCTAAATTGGTTGACTCCATGATGACATGCTCAAGTGATGGGTACAAGTATTACAGAAAAGAATTAATTTTCATACACTTAAACCCTGAATTTTTTTTAAAGAAATAGTCTGCTCTTCATAGTATAAGAGAAAAAAGGTAAAGTGATGGTTAGTCTTATGCTGAAATTCTAATTGACATGAAGTTTTTGGTTAACATTAAGTCAACCACACTCTTGAATCTTGTAGAAGATTTTCAACCATTTTTATTAGATAAAAGAATAATAAAAAGTATTTTGTTATAAAAAAAATTTTAAAAAAAATCTGCAGTACAACTTTAGAACTGTTCCACAAACTTTTACAAACTGATTATTATCATTTAAATATAGCCTACTTATTCTAGCTGAAAACTACAATTTAAATTACAAAAATACAATGACATATAAACAATAGCTGTTAAGTGTAATTGGATATAATATGTTAATGTTACAATCTTAATCAAGACTAAACTAGCTAGTCTCCTGAAGCATCTTTGAGCAGATGCTAAAATGATAAAAGCATTATACAAAGTGAAATACAACTAAAATTTCATACTAATAAATGAAAGGCAAATGTAAATTTATATAAATATATGTCATGAGTTAAACTATCTTTTTTGTTTTTATGTTGAGTTAAATTGCACAAGTTACAACAATTTAGACTCAGCTGGTATAATTTAGTTACCAGCTGAGTCTAATTTATTTTGATCATTTGGGCTATTTGACTTATTTTCATTTACAAAGGTTTCTTTTCTTCCACATCAATAGATGGGCATTGAATGTGAATATATTTTTAAAATCTTTAAATTTGCACTTTGCAGGTTCCAACAAAAGGATGAATACAAGGGGACACAGGCAACAGCTGTTACCTCTGCTGCTGAAACCTGGGTATTTGAGATGGCTGATATGGACTAGCTCTCCGTGTGGCTGGACTCACACTGTTGGATGGGACACTTCAAAGGGGATAGCACAAATATTATTCACTAAAACATGCAGATTATGACATCTTAAATTAAATATTGTTTCATCTAACTAATTTTCAACTGTAAATACTTCTGTGATTTTACTTATGTTCTTAAAATTATAAAGAAACCCCACTCATTCATTATAAAAAATAATAATTAAAAAATACAAAATTAACATCTGAATAAAAACAAAATAATTCAAACATTAAATAATTTAAAATATTAAAAAAACACCTGCAGTATCAAATATATAAGTAGTGCATAAATCCTTCCAGAAAGATTAGTTTATTATGTCATGAAAGTCCTCCTAGAACCCAAATATTAAATGCGTTGTTTTAGTCAGCCCCTTCCAAGTTTCCAGAACTTAATTCTATCATCATATAAATCAAATGGTAGAAACATCCATTCAAAAATACTAAAAATTTAACATAAATATGTCAAACTGTTCCTATACAGCCAAAATGCACACCTGAACTGCTTTAAAAGAAAACTATTCCCGTTAGCTTATTATGCAGTGAGCAAGTTAAAATGATGATGCAGTCAAACTATGCAGAACATGCATGAAAACTAACAGAAAAGAATTGAGATGATGTATTAAAATAAAACCTTAAAAATGAAGATCTGGACCGCTCAGTGATAAAACTGAAAAATGACAAGAAACTGATGACATTTTTTCTTTGAATAAGGTGGCAGTAGTCTCATCACTTGCTAAACACAAGCAAGAAAAATGTCCCTTGGTAGTTCACATTGAAAACAACTAACTTTACCTCTAATTTATACTAACAATTCAATTTCTTAAGAGATGTGGGATTGCCTGCACACAAGTATGACATAGATAGATATTGAGGGATAAGACCTATTCAATAGTAAAGAATCCATTATAGGCCCCCCTTCTAAAGTACCCATTATAGGCCCTACTTCTAAAGTACCCATTATAGGCCCTACTTCTAAATTACCCATTATATGTCTTCATTCTAAAACCCATTTTAGACCCTCCTAAAAGTACCCATTATAAGCCCTCCTTCTAAAGTACCCTATAATATGCTCTCCTTCTAAAGTATGGTACCCATTATAGGCCCTCCCAATACACACACTTAAACTTAAAATCTCAATAACTTAAACAAGTATATTGTATTTACTTTTAACTAGATGAATCAATATGCTTCAATTCAAAGATTAATTGTCTGTTGTACATTTTTTGGGCAAAGACTACAAGAATAAGGGATGAAATGTCTTCATAAAATCTTGTAACAGAAACACTAATGTAAAATTAACAATCAAAACTAAAACAGAAACATTATTAAATTTATATGGTGTAAACATTAAATAAAAGAAAAAAACAATATTCAAACCGAGACAAATTGTAATTTTAACAAAGAGAGAAGATTAACGTTACAGAGATTGATGAAAATCAACACGTAAGAACTGACATGCCAAGCTTACCTTGATAATGTATTGAAGCTTACTGATGCTGCAGGCTGGTCATCAAAGAAAGGGTCCTCTTCGATATCACTGCCGTAACCAGTCACCGATGTGTTAGCTTTGGGTGTACTATGGTCAATCTTAGGCGGGTTGCTGTTGTGAATGTCAGGCTTGGATTTGTTGGATAACTGTTTGTTCTGTTGCTGTGGGGTTGCCTGTTGCTGAAAGGTGAGAAACATTAAAAATTACGGTAAAACATTTAACATGCAAAGAATTTATTGTGTTAAATTCACCTACCCAGTGAATTTGTTCATTCTGTTTTAAAATAAATATCTTAACAACCCTTATTATCAAGCACATCACTAATTTTGTATACCATATTTATTGGCGTATAACACGCACCTTTTCTCCCCGAAAATAGGGGGCAAATCATGTGTGCGTGTTATACGCCCATATAATGTTTAGTTTTTTCCCTGAAATTTCCTTCTTAAATTGAGGTGCGTGTTGTACGCGGGGGCATGTTATACACCAATAAATGCAGTAATTATTTAAAGCTAAACAACATGGACTCATTTAAAGTAGGAAAAAACACCTGAATCACTGCAAGTATTATTCTCTAAGTATGACAGATGATGTAAAGCTGGCTGATCAAGTTTAAATGACAACGACTAGTTACTAACTGTTTTAATTCTCCAAAAAGGTTGATTACATCTTAAAACAAAGCCAAGAACAACACTCTGCATTGTTTAAAACAAACTGTTAATCCGGCCCATTTATTTGTTAGTTTTAAACTAGAGGAATTTAAAAGATGAATAAGATTTGATTTTGAAGCTCAAGTTGAAATATAAGCTGCCACCACAGAAGAACCAAAAAACTCACAGCCATCCCCAAATGTAGATTTTAAACAATCTACAAATTTCAGAGTTACGATCAATTAATTAATTTGTATCATTATCCTTTAGTGCAATAATTAAATTTTTTTTTTATTGTAGAAAACACTATTAAAATGATCTTATAATGTTTCTCTTAATTTAACAGGAATCAAGTCTTAAATAATTGTTGGCCAAGTGAAGCAATAGAATACTGTGAAGACGAAAGGCCTAACCTTTACTCCTGGTTTATGTGTTGGTGACACAATATCAGCAACATCCTCTGAGACCACCGTCCGGCATAAGAGGAACAAGCGTTTGTACATTCCTAAAAACTCATCAAAATCAATGGCTGTGGAGGAACAAAAAAAATGTGACTCAAATAAATTGAAAAAAGCTAAAATAAATGCATGTTTTCATGCATACCAACCTGTACTGTCTACCTGAACTTTGTACAGTTTTTATAAATTTTCCAAGTTGTATGGCCATAAAAGCATTTTTTTTTTTTTTTTTTTTTTACAATTTTCCCACTGGAGTTAGAAAAGTTTGCTTACAACACACGTTCAATACTGATGGTGCAGTAAATTCAAAGTAGGACAAGAATCTAAATACAGGAATCTGTATTACTACTACAGTGTAAAGCTAGCATAATTAACCAAAGAATGTATAATTACATCTAAATTGTTATCAAATTCATCAATTGTTCATTTTTAATAAAATTGATATTGGCCAGAGTAAAAAGTTGCAATATATCCATTTATGAATGATGTCTACATCCATGTGTGCAGCAAATGAAAGACTATTTTTTAAATTCAAAAATTAAAACGTTGATAAAAATGATGAAAAAAGTTATAAATTAACCCATTTTCGAATTTTCTTTTTTTTCTGTACAATTTTTCATGCTGTTGTACAGTTTTTTTTTTTTTAACTTTTTGTACAATTTTTTTATTCCACTGGTTGGCATGCATGCATTTTGTATGATGTGTCATTTAAAATATATATAATAGCAAAAGATAATTTTTTTTTCAAAAAAAGGCTGTTTTAAAATTTAATTTAAAAAATAAATAAATCAATGGGCCAAAAAACGCTTAACAAAATTAATTATTTTATAACTGGAATGTTCATTAAATTTTCAAAATTGAACTCAAAAGTTATTTATGTATGGATGGTTCACAATTTATTAGAATAAAGAATTTCCTCCAAACATTTCTCATAGTACTTAAATACACATGTAGCAAGGCAGATGCAGGCTTGTTGCTGAGCTCACAGCAACTGGTAAAAAAAACAAAAAGGTTCATGCACATGCCCTGGCTGAAATTGGATACCGGGTAAGAAGGTTTTAACCAGGACTGCAGGGACTAAAGAAAATCCTTACCGCACCATCTCCATGTATCCAAAACTAACTTAAGGGATCAGTAAGTCCAATACCAATAAACTTTGCACCATCTCCATGTATCCAAAACTAACTTAAGGGATCAATAAGTACAATACGAATAAACTTTAAAGAATGATGCCACAAAGATATAAATTTATCAACATCAAGACCTTAGAATGAATAAGTTGAAACTGAATAGTTTCAGAAATAAAAAATTGACAAACTTTTTAAGTGATTTCAGGATTGATGAACCACAACCTCAAACTACAAAGGAACCCAATACCAATCAGTAGACACTATTGACACCATAGACACAACTGTAAATATATTTTTCAAGCAAGGAGTTTCCTACACAATTAACTCTCTGCATCTATTAAAGTAACAGAGCTTATATGTATATCTATATATAAAATTGTTCTGATGAGGAAAAGAATATAGTTATCAGTATCAGCTAGAGTTGTGTTGGATTGAACTGTTACAATGAAACTCAAACTGTGAATGGCAAAACTTTCTGATTGATGAGAGAGACTCTTTGCAAATAGCATGCTATTTAGATTTTATTGGTGTCTAATTTCTAATACTCTGTTGTCCTATGAAAGAGTAAAAGATATCGACCATCTCTATTAAAATAAACAAAAATTTGATAGAGCAAATCTTTAATTTGATGTCCTTTCAGTAGTTTTATTCAGAATTATCACTGGTTATGCTGCCAGTGACATAAAAGATACAAAACTGATATGAACAATTTATCATCTCAGGTCAAAATAGCCCTATAAATTCACTATTCAAATAGCAGTTACACAAGATGCAATAAAAACATGCCATTTATGTTAGTTGATGCATAGGAAGGGTCACATAAATTAACCATAAAAAATTTGCAGCAATTTATTCAATGATACAATTATTAAAATCTATATAGATATATTGCATCCAATATATTTAAGACAAAGTGAAAATAGTAAAGTATGCATTAGAAGAAATAAAGATCAATCAAGACTGTTTTCATTAGTGGACAAACATAATTTTCTAATAAAAAATATCTACTTGGCATGCATGAATTTTTACAAGTGTATACCTTTTGAAGTCAGGGAATAAATAGCTTAAATTGGAATAAAAAAGATATTGAATTTAAGTCTGAAAAAAGAGCTTTCCTAAAATACCTAAAGCAATGCTTGTGAGTGGCTGGGAACTACATTGGATATATTTATCAAATGGGAGATACCTGTTCCTTACTGATCATGTTAAGCCGTGTTTTTATTAAACTACTTAAAGTATGGTAAAAAGAAATAGGAGGGAAAAAATGGTGAAGAAAAGGACAATATAGAATGGCCATAACCAGTGAAATGTTTAGAGCTAATTTTGCAATAGTTCTCAAGACCTCATTTTCCTTGGATTTGTTAACTGAATTTAAAACTGTAAGTGCCACCACTCACCACAGCTAGATTTCATTACACAATTTAAATTGTAGCTTTCTAATATTTAAAAAAAACTTCAATACACTGCAAAAAATTAATAACTCAAGGTGTCCTTACCAACAAAATCAATTGTGGCTTTATTTTAAATAGGTTAAAATCAATTATTTTATTTTAGTTCCAATTCTGAATGGTAAAACAAATAGAGATTCATAATAAAATTAGGCAAGTTGTTTCATTTTCAAAATAAATACTCATTATAAATACATTTTTCTTATATTTGACCATGAATGGGAATTTAAATACTGGTATCTTGAGTAAGAAAATATAATTTTATTCTAAAATAAAAAAATAAATTAAAAAAAAAGAATTAATGGTCTTAAGTTAAATACAATTTATATTCACAGATCAAACAATTATCTATTTAAGTAAAATTTATGCATCACTTGAAGAAGATTAACTAATTTCAGCAAAATGCTGTGATGTTAACTCACAGCTGTTAAAGTCTTTGTCCACAGCGGCAAATTCATCATTGACATAACGCTCCAGCATATTCCGATGGAAGTTGGGAAACATATCGAGGAAAAGGTCCCTGAGCTCATCCTTGTCTATTGCTCCGCTGCCATCCTGTAAGCATTTTAGTAATTAATTTTTAATTAATCATTGCATGCTCCAAAACCTTTACATTCATATACTGGTATTTTATACAAATTTCTGCCTCTTCAATGAAAAATAACAATTGTCTTAACTAAAAAATGTCAGACTGCTCTGGATTGACATCTCAAGGCCCAGCCAGAATACAGAGGAGTTAAGCTGGTGGACAGACAGAAGGGGCAGTTTGAGATTACTCATTGAGATTTAAGGTGTTTGTTAATGTGAAGGAGGCTAGCTATAGTGGGATTGATAAATAAATGACAAATTGTTAAAAGTTTTGCTTTGACTGCCATATCATTTAATATCAAAGTGCTATCACAGTGATAATGATTACAAACATTCAATACCAGATGAAAAATAATTTTCATTACTTACCTTATCATAATATTCAAATTTTTTCCTTGCTTCCTCTATTTGTTTATCTGTGAGATTCTGAAAATTTCATTTTTAGAAGCAATAAATTATGGTACACATAAATGAGATCAAATTATACAACAATTTAACACTGAAAATGACTAATTAATTACAATGTTCTTTGTGAATCTCAGTTTGTTTAAACACATCGGATAACTAAAACTTAACATTAAGGTTCACCAACTACATTTAATTGAATAAATGAGTAGAGAATTCAGAATCAGCCTACTGCTTATTAGTGATCAATAAACTTCACTTTAAAATAAAGTAAAATAATTATTATTAAGACCTTGAACACATTACACACAAAAAATTTTAAAATTAAAATTAAAGTATTGTAAGTATAACAATAATAATAATTAAATAAAAAAAATATAATTGAACTAAAGACGTAAACAATATAGTACTTCTTTTTATAAAATTTTTTTATTTTATACACTGCACACAAAAATGTATATTAAATGTAAAAACTGTTAGTAAAAAAAAGAATTTGCAACTTTGATGTAATGGTAGTAAATGCTAATCAAATTTGTTTCACAAAAATGTATATATGAATATGGCATCCTTTCATCTTCGAGAGACATTGGAATAGCTTTTGACATTTCATCAAATTGCTTACTAGGCTGATCCTATCAGCATCTCAGATGCACTTCTCACTGGAGAACCTCGACTTCTGGTTAAATTTGGCCCTCTGCAATGTATTTTATTGTTGCAAGGGCTTTGTTTTGCGCACCTTGAGATTATTTGAATCCTTCTTACACTGCAGTTAGCTAGCTTGAATGGTGCTCAGCGATGATCTCCCATTCGTTGTGTCTGTGTTGTCTTCCCATGTTTCTTTTGCAAAAATCCTCAAGTCTTGCCCCTTCTGCCAACTCTCCAAATAGCAGATCATTTGGAATACAGCCTAAGTGAATGCGCCTCTTGCTAAAAGCAGAAAACATGAGCTCACTAAATCTGACACAGACATCTTTGGTGGAAGCTTTTGAGTTTCTGCTTATGACTGGCATAAGTGATTAACATTTCACTGCTATATATGAGCGTACTAAGCACACATGTCTGATAGATGCTTAGTTTTGTATATTCAGTTAGTTTAATACACCCAGATTATTCAATTTAGCCATAGTTGCTGCTACTTTTATGATCCTTATGTTCATCTCTTCGTCAACAGAGAGTGAACTAGAGATATTGCATCCAAGGTATGCAAAATTCTCAACTATTGACAGAATATGGCCCTCATTACTTATGTATATTTATAGTTCATTGGTTGTAGAACTGATATATTTATATGTATGTGATGGTGTGTGTGGATATGTATAATTTATATTTATAAATTATAAGTTAAATAAGATCAGTTATAAATGAGAGTGCTACAAATTTAATCAAAAATTCAAAATATTTACTTTATTACAGCATAAAATATGATAACGGATATAATATATTTTCAAAACTAAGAACAATATTATTTTTTTTGTTCATATCTCAACCCAATGCTAAATTTCATCAGATTATTTCATATTGAAATTTAAAAATATGTCTTAGTAAACTAAACTTGCTTCCATCCTTAAATTGACATAGAAAATTGTTCTTAGCTTTTTTAAAATTGATGTGTATAAAAGTGTTTTTAGTCTTATTAGGAAAGCAATAGCAAAAGTACAGTTTAAAGCAAATAGAATGGTGCAGATCCCAACATTTTTTTAACCAGTATATCAAGTAAGCTAAAATAATACTAAATTATATAGGCTAAATAGTTGATTTTCATAGCAAGACATTGTATACAGAGAAAAGTTAATGTAGTATTATGAAAAAGAATATGAGCATATTTAGAATTATCAGTTTTACCCTGTGTGACTTAGGCTGTGAAATGCATAGTCACAATAATCATTGATACAATTGTTAAATTTTTTAGGAAATAAAAAAATCTCATGGGTTTTTTTATGATTATTTTTCTTGAAAAGATGCATAAACAAACGTGTAGAAATGTTGCAATTTTATTGTCAATGCTGCATAAAAAAGGATATGTTTGTAATTTTCTGAACCAATCTAAATTCCTGATATTTTTTAAAACTAACCCATCTAAATATGTCTATATCTGGAGCTACAACAGATGATTATCAGAGTTGTACTGGTACACCTGATGGTATCAAGAGCCAATTTGTTATTATTTTAATTTGTTAAAAACATACAGCTTTATGTTTTTTAAATGACATAACCTGTAAATAAACTAAAAAGAAAAAAAAAGCACTTTACATTTCTATTAGGCAATATGAACAATTCTTTTCATATTTACCTTGGATATTTGAACAGAGTCCCCAGACCCTGAGTTTGTACTGGTCTGCTTACTATGCTGGTGGAGTAGACATGTGAGTAAGGGTGTGCTGGCTGAGACATTTGACAGGGGAATTTTCAGCTCTTTAATGAGATCTGACCTTTTAACAGTCTCATTCTGTGGATAAATCAGTTTCAAACATATCATACATGAAGGTTGATGAATTAAAAAAGAATTAATAATAATAGCTAAAACAAATGGCTGACTCAAACTAAGAAACAACTAATTTTAATTTTAAATCATTTGTTTAAAATGTTGATTAGTTTCTAAGTTAAAAGATTAAAAATAATCAATTATTATACCTGCTTTTTTACCAGGAGTATTTAAAATATTTAAAGCCACAAGAGAACTGTTATGCTGACACTAACATAACATAAATAATTCTGGTATCATGAAAGGATAAAAAAGAAGGAATTAATAATTTTTTAAATTAGCTCAAATGAGATATAATATTGAAACATCTAGCAAATGAGAGAAATCAGCCCATCCCCCCCCCCTTGATACAGGCCATTTTTAAGTATATAATATAATAACAGCATTGGGTCAGTTGATATATTAAGCTTTATAAAAAAATCTTTCCCCTACCATCCCTATTTCAGGTTTGAACACAGCAAGGGTAAATTCCAGATTTAAACATTCTAAAAACTCTTGAACCAAGTTTGCTGTCAGCCTTCCTGAAAAAAAAATAAATTGTAATTTCTTAAAGGTGAGCTATAAATAGGCACACATTGTTTGGTAATAATATATAATAAATTATTATAATCACCGGACACCTAGACCTTTCCAAGATTTATGGGGCACACCATTTAAAAAAAGCTCTAATGATTTACTATTTTCACATCCACAAACCAAATTTTTAATTAATTACTATAAACATTTTTTTATACATGTGAAATTATCAGTTGATCTTTGATACCTAGTGATGTAACATTAAACAGCTTTAGATTATTTTTAATTGAGACTGAATATCAATGAAACACAAATAAAGGGGAAAAAAAACTGCATACCATTCACTAATTAAAAGATTAAACTTAAACAATAACTATTGAGATGTTTTAGCCCGTGTTGGTGCACATAATTGTTTTATATTTGACAATGTCTGATAGAGCAACTTTGAAAAATTTGTTCACATATACAAGTGGTTGAAATTTTTTATCAAAACTGCAGTAACCTCGTTAAAAACTCAAGGATATTTTCCCAAGAAAACATTAGCAAAAATTACAATATCTGACTCGAGCAAACTAACTATTTTAAAACAAAAACCGTAACAATTTATTAAAAGAGCCCATTACATACCTTCTTTTGTTGATAAAAAGCTCCTCAACTCTTTATCAGCAAATGGTGATTTATTCTGAAATAACCAATACAGGTGTTTATAGATGAAAAAATCTAATGCTCATATATGATTTCTGTGTATTACTCATTCCAGCAAATTGAAATTATTATTTTTTTTATTTGACTCTCTCTATATAGAGTTTTGTTTCTTTACTTATATTTGACAAGTCACTTATTAATCAGTTCATGGAAAGGTGTAAGCGAGAAAGAGTAATCAGGTAAGCAGGCTGCAAAAATAGACCTCGACTCAGATCATACCCTCATTTTCTGAATTCCTGTGCTGTGTCTTACTGACTATGACATACAAGCATCAAAGTTACTTTTCATAACATCATAAACATTGTTTAATTTTAAATTATTTTTTTTTCAAATAGCATTTTTCAAAAGTTAGCTTTAATTTTTCAACTTCTCACTGGCATTTAATTTTTAAATAAAAGTAGCATTAGGTTTAATAGGTCCCAGAATAAATCTAAAATTCAAATCTAATGAAGCTATTTACCTGACCATTTTCTTGGTCTTCTAATGCAAGAAATACACTTGCTCGAAGTTCAGCCTAGAAGATAAATAAATACAGATTGAATTCATGTGAATTCAAACATTTCAAAACATGTTTAATTTATTTTTAATTGTCACCTAATTGTACACCTAATTGTACACCTAATTGTACATCTTAATGACGAAAGAGCTCTCCATAGACCACAAATGTCATTGCACCACCTGGATCACTCAAATATGCTATGTCATTTGTACTAATTTAAATTTACTACTCTAAAATGTGAAATTACGGGAGATGGATAGGAGACTGTCTGACCGAAGAGAAACTGGTAAGTCATAAGAGTTTTTGTAAGCATTTTTGCAGAGGAAAGTCTGTACACAGTAGCCCTAGGCATGACCAGGGTTAAAGGGGGGGGGGGGGGGGGGGGGGGGGGGGGGGGGGGGGGTTGTTCAAGTTGTAATGATGCAGAGCTCTGAGCTAGCCCATGGGAGGTGACCTCATATGGGGTAGCGAAGGGATTTATGTGGTGTCCCCATCTGAAACAACAGACTAAGAGAAGAAATGATTTTAAATAGTTTGATTTTTCAATTGGTGTCTTAAAGTTTGAGTTACAATTAAATTCATGGCATTAAATATGTGGTCAATTAGATAATGCTGAAATATCTAGATTTCCATCATTTTCCACAATTAATCGTGGTAAGGGTTACTTTGCTTTTACATAAATGTGATCATGACGTGAGAATGCTTGAGAACCTGTGCACTAGAGCTAATAAACTTAAAAATTAAGCGCAGTAAAAACTAGATTTTACTGATCGTGGATTATTGCAACAATTTGTGACAACCTGCGACTTGCGGAAAAAAAAAAAAAAAAAAAAAAAAAAGAAAATTGTGCTCTAAAAGTTTTTACCGGGATTTCTGAGGATGGGAAAATTGCCAGGTAAAACTTTTATTTGCTATAAATCATGTGGGATCCTGAGATCCCAGGTAAAATCCATAATGACAATGTGTGATGAGGGTGTCCAAATTTTATGACAAATTTATGACAATGGGGGGGGGTTAAATCTGCCACAACAGCATATCATTTATGAATGGTCCTATAGAAGTACATAGGTGCTTCATCAATAAAGTAAGGAAGACTCCTAATAAATTTTTATCAAAAACATGTCGGCATAGGAAGATCCAAGTTTTTAATTTGCATTCATTTTTTTTTTCATCAATTTTAAAGCTCTTTTTCTCAATAATTACACTTTTACAGAACACTTATTGTTTAAAAGGTATTTTGACCTACACTCCTATTTTTTGTGCAGTAAATAAGTTCATATGTAAAAGAACAAGTTCAATGTCTTTGCTAATATATTAAATCTTTGTGAGTAGCATTCAGTGGTTGATATTTTTATGAAATATAATTGTGATTATGTGTCGGTTTTCCTCTGCAGATATCCGGACAGACTGTGTTACACTATGTACATGATCCTCATAATCCGCCATGTCCGGCACTGCCCATTCCAAAGCTGAAAAATACTATCAGGCATATAGAATAATGTAAAATTTGTAACACAGTATCAAATATTCATAATATGTTTTTATCAAAATAATTAAATGCTTTTTTGGCCTTAATATGAAAACAGATACATTATTCCAAGGCTTTAGAGCAGAGGATCCCAAAGTGGTCTATATCGACCCCCAATGGTCGACAAAAACTTCCAAGGGGTCCATGTCAGCGAAAAAAAAATCAATATCAGATAAGCAGGGGGTCTACCCAAAACAAAAAAACGATAAACTGTGTACCGGTACCCTACACAATTTTTAACGTAATAAATAAAACTTAAAACCAACCCTTGGTTACTACATAAACTTTTCAAGTTTGCTTATAATCTTTTCTTAAAATGATTCATTTTAAGCGTCTTATAATTATTTAGATGTTTAAGGATTTAATCATAAACTTTTCAAGTTTGCTTATAATCTTTTCTTAAAATGATTCATTTTAAGCGTCTTATAATTATTTAGATGTTTAAGGATTTAACATTAACGAATAACAGTGATAGCAGCCATTTCCGGCTTCTCGGTCAAAATAAAAAAAAAAAATGATAATTTCATACCCCCCACTTATTCGCGGGTTGCATAACTTTTTATCGAGACCTCAACGATAATAACTCAAAAAATGAAAAAACTCTTACAATGAATGTAGATTAGGGAGCACTAAACCTTATTTTGGTGGCTTTACTAGTAAAAAAGTATTTATGCGATTTATATACTAACCGAGTCATCATAATAATACTGCCCGTGATGCAAAAAAAATATCGTAGCATAAATCAATATATGACCGGAACACAAAAACTGATACGTCAGTGATGAGGAAAGCAATTATTTAATAAACAAAGGTGACGTAGTCTGCAATTTTCCAATGATACCGTGTTGCTGTACGCCATATTGCAGAACACGTTTTTTCAACATTTAAGGACATGCGCAGAACGGTGCGTGCTTTACTTTATTATAGTAAAAATTTTTAAAAATTTCCCAAAAGGGCCTAACTACAATTGGTAGTAGTAGTAACTATTTAAATAAGACTTAACTAAAAAAAAAAAAAAAAGGCAAAGACACTGTCACACTCTAATAAGGACTAATGAAGTAGTAAGTAGTTTTAAGTAGGCAAAATGTAAGTCTAAGTTTAAGTCATAAGTCAGTTAAGTCATAGTGTAAGGGGCAAGAAGGGTTTTGATCATAAACATAATTAATTAGCCCTAAGTCTTATTTTTATTATGAAGCTTAGGCCTAATTCGCGTAAATTACCCTCAACTTGCCGAGGATCCCATTTGCTTCTAGAGTTTGAGCTACAAGATCTCGAAGCTCTGTATCTTCTTCTGCTGACATTGTTTTTGTTTGATTTAGCCAGAAAAAACAAAAAACAAATATGTTTAGGTATAGCAGATCGCTTTTATTCTATATAAAGTATAATCAAGAGAAGCTATTTAAACAAAAGTATTATAAATCATAAAAATATATCTATCCGCCATTTTGTCGCTTATGAAAACATGTTTAAACGCGTGCTCCCTTTCGTGTGCGGTTACCGAGATATAACTCAAACATGCAAATTATGTATTTAAAAATAATTGATATTCAATATAAATTTTGCTGTTGCCAGAATTTAAATACCACAATATTTAGGAACTGGCTTAGATAGCTTAAATCTAAACAAAAACAAAGCTATAGTGCAGTCTGGGCGGAGGTTTGAGTGTATGTGTTGTGGGGGAGGGGGGACTAGCTGTGCGTTGTTTACCATAATCCTGAGACAAACGTTACACATAGTCATATCAATTGTTCATTCTAGCGTAAACAAAATCATTATTACTTTTATACAACGCATAACAAAGTAGATACTGGAAAAGGTAATGCGAAATAAGTGTGCCTTTCAGAACTATAAACGAAGGCTTGAAAAACAAGACAAAACGTTTGTTTCGATTAACCGTCTTTCTTGATGGACGGAGGGTAATAAGGGGAGAGACTAATATCAGGTTAGCAAAATATAAAATGAGTAAAACAAAGTAGGGTTAAATTTGAAAAAAAAAGGAATGCAACAAAATAACGAACGGGTCGGCAGGAAGCCTTCGTCAGCGAACAAAACAACAAGGGAAAAAACCATAATAAAATTTAAAAATAGCACTTAGCTAAGAAGTAGTATCCGTGGGCAGAACAATTAATTTTTTTTTGTTGAAAAGTCAATTTTATCGATTTTTTAATTTTTTTTTTTTTTTGCGATTTATTTTGCTTGTTAGGTCAGCTGTTGTTTTTTTTTTTTGTAAAAAATATTTTTTTTTTTTTTTTTATTTTTTTTTTTTTTTTTTGATTTTTTTTTCTTTTCCGGTCCAGTTTTTGACCCCCCCCCCCCCCCCGCCCCCAACCGAAAAAAAAACAAAACAAATAGCGTATTTGTGAAATATTGTCTTTATTTTTAAAAAAAACAAACAAAAAAACTTCTTCTGTCCACTTTTACTGGACCGGGGAGGAATCACGGGGAGATACAGTTGAAGATTAGCCCCAAATGTGACGCCTGCTGGAGGTTAATGTTGTGGACATTTAGGGTCCACGCACTCAAAGAAAAAATAATAATAGTGTAACCTTTTTGTTCAATTAGCCTAACCGCTTAGCAACAGAAATAGCTTTATATAAAACAACCAATGACTTGTTATACATATTGCAGACCAATCAAATTTGCCTGTCCAAAGTATTTTCCATAATAAATGTATCGATACCCATCCTTAATAATTGCTACTTCTAAATACTCGTGGTCGATACAATACTTGTGCCATATTAATCCTGTTTTTTTCTGTCGATTGCTACATAGTACCCTTAATGCAGCTTGATCGCAGCCTTTCAGTAATATTAATTCTCAAAATAGCAACTGATTAATGTCACGAAATTATGCTTTTCTACCCATATCTCATCTATAAAACCATAACGAAAATATTGTAACCCCAGAAAGATATCCGGTGGCCGGTGGTATGTTTTAGCCATCATGATCCTTTACGCCTAATAATAAATAAAGAACTGTAAATGTGCACGTATTATATAACGAGATGGGGTTGGGAGCTGGTTTTATAATTTTCTTAAACCGGTAATGTGTTATATGGTGTGGGGTGGTAGGGAGCAATGTCAGCCAAAGTAATCCAAAAGTTCTTTTGATTTGTTGTTTAAAATTAATTCTAATTTTCCTAAATTTCTGATTTGCAAATTTACGAAATTAGCCTAGATTACTAAAGACTAAAATTTATTTTTTAGTCTCAATAATTAGCACATTAAGGAAACAAAAATCATTTCTAGCTTTATTTGCTTAAAAGTTGCTTGTTTCGTCTTCTTTTATTAATGGTACGTAAATGTTTCTAGTCTTTATACAGCTTACCTGAAGTCATCAAAGTCTGTATGTATAATAAACATTTGGTTAACAGTGACAATCGTTTTATTTTTTTTTTAGTAATAAAGTGTCTATCGGAAAAGTGGGAGTGGGGGTGGAGGTGCTAGAAATGTTATATAATATTAGGGGGTGTTTAATGGACAAAATCATAGAACGTATCAAGGGTGGGTGAAATGTCATACATTTGCATTATAGAATAAGTGCACGGCCTCTAAACTCATAGATTAAAAAAAAAGTATTTAGATATTGGTAATGTATTATGATGAAATATTATTTTTCAACAAAATATAGGCCCTACACACCTTTACTTATTTTTATTCCATTGGCCTGAATGTGCAGTGGGGGTGGGGAGCACATGATCAAGTGTATCGATCTCTAATATATCCAATAATTTATAACAAAATGAAAAGAAAATGTAAATGCAATATAAAACGTTATACAAATTAAAAAATACCCTTAAAACTTCTACAGTAATTAGGTAAAGCGAAATATAAATGTTTATTATTCGTTAAAATAGCAGTTACAATTATAATATCGATACCTAGATTTCTCACATCAACTATTAAAAGCGAGCTAAAATTCAAACCATCCATCGCACGTTTGACTACAGTTCGCTGATTAAATCTCGCATCAATTTCAAATAGTATTAGGCCCAACGTAAGTTAGAAATCTTTTTTATATTTCTTTTTAAATGGATTATTATTACCATATTATGTTGATTATAGCATTAAAAATTAAGTATGATGGTAATGAAATAGGCTACAGACCACAGTTAATTAATTAAACTTTGTTAATTCAAATGAAAATGAGTCAAATCTTACTACCCGTCGTGTAAAGTTTCAAACTTTTACTTTTAGTACTTTTAGTAATCTTAGGCTTAGGTCCACTTCAAGTAGTGCTTCATAAAACTTAGTCTTACTCTTCTTATACTTGTACTTATATAATATATTCCTATAAGTATATCTAATTATATCTTATTTTAATATTTTTGAACGGATTATTTTAAATTTTAATGAATGTATTTGGTATTAAGTCATGTATGAAAAAATTATTTTTAATAATATAATTATATAATTTAATTATGATTTATTTAAATTTGTTGCATTACTATTACAACTACATGTGTAATATAGTTTGACAGTTTGAGTTTATCATAGTGATAGTTTTCCCCAACTTAGCCAACTTGAACTTGAAGAAACTTGTCCTGCCTAATTAGCCGCAATCGAGCTCGGCAAGTGCCAAACTCAGTCTTTACTTTTCATTTTGCTTGTATCCACACATTTTCTACTTTCTGTGTGTGGACAGCATTGAAGGCGTCATTTTTATACAATTTTTTGATCTGCCCAAATGGAGTTTCGTTAAAAAATCCATGTTTAAAATGATTCATTTTCTTAAGCCTAAGGCCTAAGCTGCCCACCATATGTGAACCCGGTAGAAAATATCTCTATGATGACTATGAATCATGTCATTGTATAATAGTATGATTAACTCTATGGAGTCTAGTCTATAGTCCATGCACTCCTGTACTGTCACAGTAAAGTGATCACATCGGTCTCACCGATCCGGCACTTCAACAAGAATCCAGAGCGCACTCTCTTTCTATATTCTAATCGAAAACCCATAATTTATAATAATTTAACATGAGCATAAAAAATTTGATAAAAACCATCTAGATTTATATCTTAATTTAACAAGTTTTTTCTATAGTGTAGTGTCGTTCATTAACTCAGACCTGTTTACTCTTACGATTTTGGCGTAAATTGTACTTTTTGAAGTGTATATTTATGTACACTGACACTGTATGTTAATTTTTTACTATTGAGATAATGTTTTGGTAAATGATTTTGTGATGATATTGTATGATTTTAAGAGTTTGAGATTTGAGGGTAAACAGGTCTGTTAACTTCATTAATTCTTTTCTAACAGGCAGATGTTGGATAATCAGCAAAAACCTGTTATTGTAGCCACATTCACATAGGGATTAAGTGTGACATTGGCATAGACTTAGTCCTGTGTTTTGTCTCTTAGTACAAAATTTTTACTTTATAAGTTATAACAAAATGCACGTACCATGATAAGATATTTTTTTATTTAAATTCAAAGTTTAAATTTAAATGTTAGAACAAATTTTTAAACTTTAAACTTGTATCCTTGGGTGTTTTATTTTAATTTGTGTCTATTCTACTGACAGAATAACAAAATGGCAGAAAATGGGACTCATAATGCACGTCTTAGTGCTTACAAAAACAAAGGCAAAGACATTGAGGTATTTTTTAATTTTAATGATCATGCCTAGACACTTAAAATTCCAAGCAATGCCTTTCCACCACATTTTGATTTTTTAAAGATGAACTGTTGTTAATTGCCTGATAACATTCCAAATTCAGTTTTTGCTTGATGTGTATTTATTTTATTTAAAAAAAATAGGACCTTCGTAGACGTCGTGTTGAGACATCTGTAGAAATTAGAAAACAGAAGAAAGAAGAAACTTTGTTAAAGAGAAGAAATGTAGATTTGTCAGATGATGAACCAACCAGTCCACTGCAAGAACAAAATAGGGTTAGTAAACTTACTATCCTCTTCACACTCACCATTTTAAGCTTAACCATTTAAATTGTTCGTTTTATTGGATTTATAGGGCATCTTGCTAAATTATTTAGATATACTAAAAGTCCTAGTTTTGATTAAATTAAAATATTTTATTTATTCATTCTACCCATACAGCAAGTTGCAATGACCATGTCTGAGATAATTACCAGCATTAAGAGTCTGGATGCCCAGACTGTTCTGAATGCCACTCAAGCCGTAAGAAAGCTACTTTCTAAAGAGAAAAACCCTCCCATTGACAGAGTGATAGAAGCTGGTCTTGTTGATGTGCTGGTGACCTTTTTGGACTGTAATGACAAGTAAGTAATCCTGAAATTCTTCATTTCAATTCTGAAATTCTTCATTTCAGACTTTTGTATATATAGCAAATGTAGTAAACACCCTATAATTGTATCCAGATGCTACTTTAGCTGCACAGATTGCAATAGGATTTTACACATAAAAAAATTCACAAAATAATCCTGTGAATATTTATAAATAACATTTCCCAGGAGACATAGTCATAGATGAATCAAACAAATCCTCTATTTGAAATATAATTTTATTAAATACACTTAAAACTATTTGAACAGTGGAATGTTTATTTTCATTAACCCTCTTGACATGGAGAAATTTTCAGTTGGTTCCCAAGAAGATGGAGCCCTTTTCACATGCCCTGCACTTAATTTGTGAAAAGTGTAGATATAAGAAATATAATTTCTTGTAAAAATTAAATGAACTAAAACATCTTTATGAATCAAACTGAAATCTCAACATTTATTCAATGGCATCTTGATTTACAAAACTTATTGCAAACACATTTTTGTACACTTTAAGTTTTAAACAAATGTCCTGCAGAATTTTGGTGATTTTATTTTTTGAAGCCTGTCACTTAGTGTATACATAAATAATTGTGATAGATCACAGTAAACTGAATGAGCAAAAAATATAAGCATTCTGATTGGCTTGTAGCCATTTGACTCTTGGGCTGAAAGATTAGCCCTGTCGTCTCAAGAGGGTTAAATCTTGAGAAAATTGAAAAATTTGACAGTGGTAATCCATTGACATTAACTAGTACTTTGTACATTATTGCCTTATGAGTAGCATGTCGCATGGATTTGTGTGAAACTAGACTTGACTTATAATAGATTTAAGGTTGTTTATTTCACAAATTTTTAGGTTTTATGATAGTTATCCATCAACTTATAAAGTCACATTTATCTAATAGAATAGATAGCTTTCAATTTTATGTTAATTGCAGGTTTTCATCATAGTTTTATGGAATTAGACTTAAATCTTTTAATTTAAATTTAAAAATTATATTCTGAAATAATTTTTTATCTATATGCCTTAGTGATTTTAGCTAATATATTTATATTTTATCAAGACCAAGTCTACAATTTGAAGCTGCTTGGGCTCTTACCAATATAGCTTCAGGAACATCAGAGCAGACACAGGCTGTTGTTCGTGCTGGTGCTGTTCCTCATTTTATTCGACTCCTGGATGCACCAAGCATAAATCTTGTTGAACAATGTATATGGGCTCTGGGAAATATTGCAGGCAAGGTTTTTATTTTCATTGAGTGTTCTCGAGCATGCTACTTGCAGACCTGTTTACTCTTACGATTTCGGCGTATTTTGAGGCCTAAATATTATATATACCGTATGTTTTTCTTACTATTCAGATAATGCATTGAACGATTTTGTGAGGATATTGTAACATTTTAAGAGTTGAAGGGTAAACAGGTCTGTACTTGTCCTTTAAAAAAATGAGTTCAGTAGTGACAAATGGTGATCTTCCACTTCTCTAATGATTTGATAAGGCCATTGTTTTTAAATGAATTAAACTATTCTATTAAGAATGTCTACACAAACATGACTCCACATTCAATTCCATTACCTTAAATTTAAAAATATATCATATCCATAGGTGATGGAGCTGAAATGAGAGATATGGTTACTGCTAATGGAATTATTGAGCCACTTATGCGCCTTGTTGATATGAGTGCTCCGGTATGTTTATTTAAAAAACTTGGCATGTCTTTATTGTAACTTATATGAGATGGAATGGACAAATTACTTCTTTAAAAAATTTCTGTTGATTCTCAATAGTTTTTAATAAATTGGGTAACTGAGTACAAGTTTATCATATAGGGTGCTGGGTGGCCGAGTGGTCTCAACTGATTCAATGACTAATAACTGGTGGACTGGAGTTCAATCCCCACCAAAGCCAAGACAAGCAAAAATATCCCCAGCACCCACAGGTGGATGAGACTCGTTACCCTTGGACGGCAACTCATCTTAGAGGAGGTCGTCTCGGAATTCAAACCAGGAGCCAGAAAGATCAATAAATTGCTCTCAAAATATTGAAGAAATAAAGAAGAAATTAAATAACCCTGTCAAACCATAGCTGCACATAAAATTTATGTCAGCTGATGTTTCAAATGATCTGTGCTCTTTCTTATGCCTGAAGCTGTTTTTGGATTTCATATTCCACAAAAAAAAGATTGTAAATGCAATAAATTTTTCTTGTTTAACACTGGTGTAAACCAAGTTTTCTTGGGAAAGTATATGCAAACTTAAGTTGTTTAAGCATGGAGGGGGAAAAGGGAGATATTGTGCAAAGTACAATACTCAGTTTTTTTTAATACTTTTAGCCCAGCTGTGGTTGACATGTTTGGCCAAATCTCATGAAATTTTATGCTGTCAAAATTTAGTGTCACTTGGGACAACAAAAAAATCATATTTTAGGTAATTGAAAGATAATTATTAATATTATCTCGTCAGAGATTTATGTTGTAATAAATATTGTAAGAGAGTTGCCTGTATTGATACAAAATTTTAGTATTGTTTGAAATTATTATTTTTTCCCTAAAGCCTGCATTTCTTCGTAATTTGACTTGGACATTCTCGAATTTGTGCCGTAACAAAAACCCACCCCCTAAAATGAAAGCCATCAAAGCTTGCTTGCCAGCACTTGCTTCCCTAATTCAACATTCGGACAAAGAGGTTCTAGCAGATACTTGCTGGGCATTTTCTTACATCACTGATGGTGCTAACAATCAGATTCAAGAAGTTGTTGACATGCAAGGTAAATTGTATTTCTCATATTTTTAGTGTCAGGTGGTTATTGCAAAGGAAATAATTATAAAGCAGATTTTCTTGAATTATTTTTCATTTGAATGTAAAATGTTTATTAAACTCACCAACTGTGGCATAGATCATTCTGTAGTGTGCGAGCTTTACATGGCTTTTTGAGTGCCTTTAGCAATAGCATTAAATGACAGAAATATTGATACAAGACCCCAATAAGTATATATTTTTAGAAAGGTAAATGGATGGGAATAAAGTTGGCTAAATTGCCCACCAGTTAAAAAAAATTTGTTCAGTGTCCTTGGAGTGCTCAAGGGAAAAAAATCAACAAAATGTCTTGCTTTCAAGTGCTCATACTCATAACATCATTAATTTTTATAGATTCCATTAAAATGCAAATACAAATGTGGTAGCCAATTCATTCATTTTCAGAAAATGTATAGTTTGCTAAGGTTTTGTTTACAATTAAACCTCTGAAAGCAATTTTAGTACTCATAGGAAATTTATTACTGCAAAATTTAAGAAATTGGGACTACTGCTAAAACCAAGCACAACATGCAAAATAGTTATTATTGACTAGTAAACATTTAAAAAGGAACCGTGGAACTGATTTGGGTTGTTTAACTATAAAATTTATTAGTTCTGATCTATGATCTGTAGCTTCTGTGACTAAAATTCAGTCAGTCCTTGCCCAATCTCTCGAGAATCTGAACTGAGACGTCATGGGGGAATGCTAAAATCATCATCAGTAACACTTAAATCCTCTCCTAAAACGCTTTAAAAAATATTTATCTTAGTTCTCGCACTGAAGGCCCAGCAATAACTTCAGCCATTTTAGTTTAATAAAACTCACATTAACCCTTTACCGGGCAGAGCGGCTGAAAACGTCATTAGTACTGAATGGGCAAAACGTCCAAAAGACTCCGTGACGAGTTGTAAACTCGTGACCTCCGAGTCTTTGCGAGACTTCCTATTGCTCACATACTATTTTTTTTGTGCAGTTTTAGGGTTTTTTAAAAAAAAAATTTCGAAATGGATTTTGCCTATTATTCAAGTGATAGCGGAGATTTCGCTGGATTCAATTGAAGTGCACGAATTAAATAAATTGGAACTAGATATTAATATTATTAGTAATATTAGTGAAATCAGCGTAGTAAGCAGTGTTGAATTTTACAAACTTGGATTTTGTGGCAGTGTTTTTAAATAGTAAATAGATGACTCACAATCACAAACAGTATGTTGTTTTTTGCAAATAATTGTTGTCATATGAAGATTAATGGCAACATGTGAGTAAAATTATAAATCAGCATTCATTTTTCCTTTATTTTGCTTTTTATTTCACAAAAATTTGTTCACTAACACCTTAGATTTGATTTTTTTTTTTTTAAAGTAACCCTAAATCTTACTAAAAAGCGGAAAACTGCTGCCTGTTCAGGAGATGCAAGAGGAAGTACCTCTGCCCCATAAAGGGTTAAAAAGTACTTATTGTTATCAAGAAAAAGCTTGGCTCGGAAGTTGATTTAATTATTAATAAAAGGAAATGGCTATGATTCCGGTTAAATATTGGATGGAAAATTGCCATCGGACTGTGTTTTTTATCGGCCACCACAGTACAGAATGAGAACATCTGCTTTTTTCGGTCGACCACATTTCGTGGGTTAAGAAAGAAAATCTTCAGTTTGCACCCCATCTTATTTATTTTAATAATTTTCCAGGGTCTTGGATCAGTTAAACTTTTTTTTGCAAATAAAAATATATTTGACGATATTATACATTTTTTGTGTGTGCATATCCTGTTCTTATATGAAGACCTCAAGGGAAAAAACGGCAGAGTCCATTTTTAATTTTTTTGAGTTATCACCCCTGACTTATAGCCAGTTAAAAATAGAAGGTGCTGAATTAAGTTTAAAAGAGAAAAAATGGCCAAGTCCATAAGAAAAATGGAAACGAAAAATCCGTTTACAATGGAAAAAGGAGCAGAGTCCAATGTTTACAATGGAAAAGGGGGCTAAGTCACTAATATCACGTGACATTTGAAGTCACGTGATTTAAAGGTCCAATGAGAGATAGCTATATTGTAAACAAAAATTAAAGATGGCGACCGATTCGCTCAGCTGACCGACAAACCAACGAAAAAGTTAACTGACAAACCTGAATTTTTTTAATTTCCTACCACAAGAAAACAAAACAAATTAACATAAGCACGATAAATTGGACTTAAAACATTAAAAAAAATAAAATTTGTATTTTAAATCGTATTTTACCCTTGTTTTTTTATGTTCAGTTAATTAATGTGTGTCTCCGTCTCGTCTCTTTCGCTGTCGCTCTAACTCTAGTCAAGTCTAGTCTATCACTGTTTGTTGCATGTCTGTGTCTCTCCCTGTCAGTCTATCTCATTTAGTTTGTATATCTCTAGCCCTGTCGCTCTAACTCTGTGTCTGACTCCCCCTGAACTCTTTATCTTCGAGTGTATGTCTTGCTATCTCGGTCTGTTACTCTTTACTGACTTTACTCTTAAACTTAAGTTCATACAATTACAGCTAAGGCTACTGGTAGAGAAAAAAAAACTAATATTGGGCCAAAATTGTAAGAAGCACATCAGAAACTTAGAAAGTATGATTTTAAATCTGATTTTCGGGTTAAATTCTTAATAATATAGTTTTTTAATGATAGTTCTAAGCATGAGCCATATTGGCCATATTCTTATATTAATAGTGTCAACAAAAATGATTTGCCTAAGACAGGGTCATTCGTAAATTACATCACGTTAAATGACCTTTTTAGACACCCCCTCCCCTTGTCACAAATTCTCTCCCCCCCCCCTGTCACATCACCTAAAAAAATTCAAAAAATACATTACATTTTCATAACTAAACTAAGATATTATTTTATTCTTCAACATTTTCCCATAATGCTGTAGTTCTAAACCTGTGGGTCGCGACCCCTTTATGGGTCGAATGACTCTTTTAAAGGTGTCACTTAAGACAATCGGCAAATGCATATCCTCTACAGTTATGAAGTACTAACGAAAACAATTTTATGGTTGAGGGTCGCCACAACATGAGGGACTGCATTCAAGGGTCGCGGCATTAGGAAGGTTGAGAACCACTGCCATAATGATAAGATGTAGTATTACTAGAAAACCGAGTTTCATGGTACAATACTATAATACCTGAGGCAAAGTTGACCTCAAATTAATGTTTTAAAAATTAATTAAATTTTGATTTTTTTAAAAGAATTAAAAACTTTTAGAGATGAAAAAAAAGTGACGTCACAATTTTTGACCCCCCCCCCCATTTCCCCCTGTCACAAAGTGTCGCATATTCTCAACCCACCCCCTCTAAGCTTGACGTAATTTGCCAGTGACCCCTAAATGTGAACATTTACTTATAAAATAGTTTTAAATAGATATTTATCAATGATCAAACCTTGATAAATTACTACAAGGGAAAAAACGGCAGAGTCCATTTTGACCCCACTCTCTACTATAATGAAATAAATCATGTTACATTCAAGTTTGAATTACTTTATCTATTTAATAACTCAGGGAAATGGACACTCTTGTGAAATGCATTTTAAAAATTACATTTTGTTTACACATTTTTAATGTGCATGGTTTTGAACTTTAAAAATCGAATATCTCAAAACAACAAAAATGTGACTCTGCCGTTTTTTCCCTTGTGGTCTTCATATATATATATATATAATTATTTTTATGGTATTTCAGGCGTTGTGCCGAGGCTTGTTGAACTGCTTGGCAGTGTGGATGCTGCTGTTGTTACACCTGCCTTGAGAACAGTTGGTAATATTGTTACTGGGGATGATTCTCAAACACAGGTATTTTTAAAGATAAAATTTAAATGCTAAAAAAAAAATAATTATTTCATGTGCTTATTAAGTCACAGAACCAGCATCGATTTTTTTTCTCAGTTGCTAATGTTTAGTGAACAACAGTGTAAAAAGCATATTTGCACTTCTTTTTTTAATGACTAATTGTATTTTTAAACTTTCTTCCCAACATACCATTCCTCCTTATTTTCAGGTTGTTATAGATACTAATGTACTGCAAATGATGCCAGGTCTGCTTCAACATAGCAAAGCTAGTATAAAAAAGGAAGCATGCTGGATGTTGTCAAACATCACTGCAGGGGCAGTGGAGCAAATTCAGGCAGTTATCGAGCACAACCTCATCCCTTTGGTCATCGAAGTATTGTGCACAGTGAGTTGTAACTAAATTGATGCTATTCTTAACAACACATGGACTTTTCAATTCACTTATCCTATTTTCCTAATATTCAATACTATTATTTAAAAGAAATACTTTGCTTGGTTCATCATTTTTAAATTCTATCCTACCTATTGAAATTCTCATACTGAGATTAGTTTTTACATTTTAGGCTGACTTCAAGAGCCAGAAGGAAGCTGCCTGGACTATCACTAATCTTACCTCTGGGGGAACTGTTGAACAAATCAGTTATGTTGTACAGTGTGGTGCACTTAAACCTCTGTGTGAGCTTCTTGCTTCAAAGGATACTAAACTGCTCCATGTGCTCTTGGATGGCATCTCTAACATTCTCCAGGTATATTTGTCATAATTTTCTTTATTTTTAGGTTAAAAACCAAAAAAAAGGAGCACAGAACTGCTGATTTTTAATCTTTTTATTCACATCGCCAGTGTTGTCCACATAGCAACAATAAAATTCATGAATAATCTCCCTTTGGCTGCTTTGATCACAGCTTTGAAATGAAAATAGCTTGCTTTAAAGCCACATTTTGGTGTATTTTTTCTGTTTGAAGAATATTTAAATATCCATAGAAGATTAGTAACTATACACCAAAGGGAGTTTATCCCCTAGGGGAACTTCTTCCACCTTATATAATTTATAAGTTCGGCCACAACTGCATCACTGAGAAAATCAATAAGTATTATGGATCTGGAAATATGATCCATCGGTGGAAAAGTAAGTTTATGTACCCATTATCAGCACCTTTGGGTTAGTTTTTAGATTAATCTGCTGCAATTTTTTGTAAGTGGAATTGTGGACAAAGTCACAGTTTCATGGCAATGCCAAATAAAGGTTGGGAAAACTTGCTGTATCTTAATATTAAACTGATGTGGCCCTTCTGCACACTTGTTGGACTATGAGCATTGTTAATTCATAGTTATATTTTGTATCTCAATATCTAATTCTTTTCTTCCAGGCTGCAGATAAAGTGGGTCAAGTCGAGCCAATTTGTACAATGCTAGAAGAAATGGGTGGCTTGGATAAGATTGAACAATTGCAGAATCATGAAAACCAACAAGTTTACAAAAAAGCTTATGACATTATAGAAAAATATTTTGGAGAAGATGTAAGCAGATTTTTTATTATCACTAGAAAATAATAAGAAAGATATATCAGACCTATTTACTCTTATGATTTTGGCTTACAAGCTACAATTTTGAGATATCTATTACAATGTACGCAAATGCCTGTCAGAAATACGATTTTCATAGAACGGGTTGAAAATATACATTATGGTAGTTTTTTTTTAATTAAAAAATAATAAATGAAAATATATTTACGGTTGTTAGTTGTACCGGTAGGTGTTTTCTGCATCCAAAGTAAATGGATCGAGAAATATGTTTGGTTTACATTTGCCCTGAGAAGGGAAGGTAGAGGTGTTATAAGATTTTAAGGAGGGGGGGGGGAGCGTATTTAAATTTATGATAAATATTTATATATTTCGTAATGATGGTGACAGTACTCATATTGTTGCTTTGTGTTTTTATAATGAACTTGCTAGACACAGTAATAGTCGCCCTAGTGACAATTTTAGTCAATCCTTGCTTTTGTTTTGCTTCTTTGTTGTATGATGCAATTTAGTGAAATAATTATTTTGTTCAGTTGAACCACAGTGAGTGCAAGAATGGAGAAAATGGGGGGTTTAAAATTATTTTTTTTATTAGAATGTATGCTATTATACTATACGGTTTGGCACAGCATTAGATGTCGACATAGGTAATAGGATCTGAGAGGACTTTTGAAGTCTATTTTTAGCACGCGCAAAACAGCTTTGGGATTTTTAAGATCACCATTTGGTTCCAATACTTCTTCCTTTCACCCATTTACAGCTGGTGGTAGTTATCAGATGGGAAATTGGATAAATAAATATTGATTCTTCTTATTTTTTTAAATAATACTCTTTCCTAAAAAAATAAATCACAAGTTACTCGGTAGGTTTTGTAAATGACATGCTGATTTGTTAATTCTTATTTCAATTTTTGAAAATTGTTATGCTGATCTGACTTCGAGTTTGAACCACATTAAATGTGACCAGTGATAAGCAATATTGTATCTGTATTATACCATTTTGAGACAATATTGTCAGATTTTAGGAGTTCAAGGGTAACTAGGTCTGATATATTGCCATTTGTTGAGAAATCTTGTTTATCTCATAATAGATCTTATATTTTATACGTTTATATTTTAGGTGTTAAGTTTGAGTTACGTAATTAAAAACTTCTTTCTTTTCAGGGAGAGGATGAAAATCTGGTACCTGAAGGCAATGCTGAAGCAAATCAATATCAGTTCAGTACAGAAAATATCAGCTCAACTCAAGGATTTACTTTCTAACTCTAAGGAAATGTTATCATTGGTATACAAGTTGATTTCCAGCCATTTTGGTAATTCCATTTGTGCTACTACTGTATAATAGGTTTTCAGCCCTTAATTCCACATGAGGAATAGTGCACGTGTTAATGGAAAAATGAATGTTATAACTTATATTTTGGTAGACTGATAAATATGAACAATTGATTAACCAATTTGGGTTAGAGAACTGTTTATTTTTAATAAATTTTTGTACCTTAGACTGTCTTTTAAAAGAAAAAGTTAGAAGACAGGCATGCATTAGAATGCATTGCTCATAAATGTTTGAGTTACTGGTAACTAATCAAATTGTAAACTAGTATGTGCAATTTACACATATGAAAATTTTATGCTTCCCAACTGGTAAAATGTCTTTCAGATTCCTGACTAATGGTGTAAATTGATAATGTTTGATGACTGATTGTTGCTGTTTGAAAGATGCATTTTGTTTTCTCCCTCAACTTTTTTCTTACATGTTTTTGTAGATTGTTTTTGTTATGCTTTTTTTGTTTGCTGTCCTTGATCATTTGAATCTCTCATGTCCAGAGATCAATAAATAATGTATAAATTAAAGAGCTTTTAATTCAAGTTTGTGGAATGAAAGTTACAAAAGACATGTGTTTAATCAATTTTCTAAGTTTAATATTTTGCAGTTGTAATTAGAATAGCACATAAAACTGTTTTGTAAGCGATTGACATGAGATGGTTCAAACTTGCAAGGAATCACTTTCAGTAGTCGCTTGGCTAGATCTGCCATTACAGCCCCTGCAAAAGATAAAATTATTAACAAATTCATGAAATTTCCTGTTTAGATTAGGTCAAAGCAGTTAATCATGATCTATGACTACACATAATCCAATTATGGCACACTTTAATTTTTTTTAAAATGGATATTATTACAAGTTTCATAAGACTGAAGGTAAAATGTCCAGTCCAAAAACATTTTTCAGTATCAGTGGACAAAAGCTCACTAAGTGGGAAAACAGACCTAAGTTTATAATATCAAATTTAAAGGTGTAGGCCAAGCAATGAACTTTTCAAGATTTAAGAGAGCTGTTTTATGATTGGGACATTATGGTTTATTCAAAAAAAAAATTAAGTTGACGATCTATTATTAAGTAAGCCATTTTAATAAAGAAACAAAAGATAGCTGGGTAATCACTATATAGTTATAGGCAAGTTATAACTCAAACTGAAAATTTCTTTAGGCCATTTTTAGCGTCTTCATCCTGTCAAAATCCCATACTAAGAGAGTTCAGAGACCCCTTCAAGTATACATTTTCTGAAAGTACAGTACATTGGTGTCTTAAATCTTTTGGTATGAAAAGAATTTATTTTATTTGTTGATTTTGACCTTCACCTTTACAGAGTGAGTAAAATTTTATGACTTACTTCACTTCAACCCAACCTAATGCTCCATATTCATAACTTGTTCAAAATGTCATAAAATATAAAATAAAGTTTTTGAGATACGTTACTAGATGATTGATGTAGAAGCAATATTCTTTCAGAAAATGTGATAGGTACTTGCATTAAAAATTGTAATATTAATTAATATTGGTGAATTTTTCATTCACTATCAGTATCTCCAAATTACTATAAAATATAAGAAGGAAAGCATGAAATGAGTTCAAAAATGCCTTTTCCAGTTATTTATTCCATTTTTTAAATTAATTAATACTCCAGAACGTAAACAAACAAATGTTTTTGAATCTCTTTAAAGTAGGTCTTTGGAATCCAATGTTTGTCTTTTCTTTTCAATCTCCACCTTTTCCCAACCAAATATGCAACAATATGACTAAGCTTAAAGCTAAAGCTAAAATTGTCAATGTCTGACTTGTACGTCACCATTAGAGCTAGAGCTAATATTGTCATTGCTTGCATGTGGAAGATCTCTGAAATCATTGCTTTCATTTTAATCCCTTTGAAATAATTCCAATAAAGTAAGTCTGTGTTGATTTTGCATCTAGACCCTCTCTAAATTTCAAAACACGATTGATCACAAAAAAAGCTGTGATAAAGTACAAGCACATACCGGTAACAGAAATGTAAATAGTAAGCAAATTCATTTATATAGAAATAGAAAAAAGAGTGAATTCCCCTTAACCGCTCGCATAGAGTACAAAATTGCAACTTTGTGCTACCGCTGCTTACATGACCTGGCGTCGTCCTATCTCAAAGCACTCATGACGCCTTATGTACCAACTAGACGGCTCCGCTCATCCAATAGTGGCAAAATATTGATACTGCATGTTCGCCTTGAGACTTATGGAAAGCGAACATTTACATTTGCTGGCCCAACAATTTGGAACACCCTTCCTGTCGCTCTCAGAAACAGCAAGACACTGGAGTCCTTTAAAAACACATCAATTTCGCTATCTACCATCTTTTTCCAGTTAATGGGCATTGGCTTGTGTTGCTTAAGGTTGAAATGGGATGAAAGACTTTGACTTGGTATGCTTGTGTGTAGGTTTTATATTGTAGCGTCTGTTTTTAAATGTGGTAAATTTTTGGATTGTTGACTGTACCGCGCTTCGAGCTTTTGGGGATGAAGTGTGTTTTTCAAATTAACTTTATTATTATTATTAACCAATACACATTAAATCCTTCGCATTTATAATGACGATTTTGCTAGCAGCTGATTATTCAGTTATAAAGTTAACTTAATATTGAACTTAAAAATTAATTTTAAGACAATCACAAATAATAATTGTCTAGGTACCAGTATGTGTGTATGGTTGTAACGCTATGTCCAATAGGTGCACAAATAAAAATTCCCAGAAGTTTTAATAGTGCGTTACGTGAATGTATTTTTTTATAACTATCTTTAGTACCGTACATGGAAAGTTCATGCATCGCCTCCGCTGTTTGGCGGGTTATTAGTACATAATATTACCTGTGCATAAAATGATTTTATCCTTAGCCAAAAACTTGATTGTGATTGCAGTTTTACAAAGGCACTCTTCTGATAAAAAAGGTGGGTCTGCGACAACCAAATCAAACTGGTTTTTCAAAGCTGCATCTATTTTCAGAGGTTCGTTGTAGTCATAGAATACAAAATCCTCCCCGTAAATCTGAAACCTGGTATCATACTCGAAGCATTTCACATTAACTGTATCTTTTTTAAGCTCACATATCTTTTTATAAGCTGTAGGTGAACTTACACAGGCTATTCTGCAGAATAAAAGGTATATAAATTTTCTTTTTTTTCAGAATATAAATGAAATTGATGGCCAAAATCTGCTTATATTTAATTAAAATAAGATAATTTCCATGATTTGGTTAAATTTCTAATTAAAAACAACTGGTATTTAAAGTTAAAGTGCCTACTTTTCTATAATTATTTATTACCTTCCATGATCTTCAACAACTGATAGTGCTTCCTTAGCCAATGCTTCTGCAGTTCTATCATCATACCAAAATTGGCTAAGTTGCTGATGAATAAATTATACCGAGTTATGTATTTATTTAATTTATATGCATACTGGTACTGTTCATAAGTCATTTTTAAATTTTAAGAACTTTAAGTATTTCAAGACAGTGGCAGATGGTAGGGTTTAGCATTAAAATACATGTACAAATAAATGTTAACACATTTTTTAGCCCTGATACTGATACTATTAATAGTGATACTCCAGGTTACTGGTTTTAGAATAAATGTAATTATTTTAGATGTTTATTTTCCCCAGGAGTGTTCTGTTTTAATTAAGGAAATCCTGATAATAAAGCTAATAACACTGCTTTTGCAGATTAATAAACAAATGGAAAATAAAATAAAGAAATTTATTTGAAAATTAGACAGAATCACCTATTTCCCCCTAATTTCTGCCTGACAACTAACAGACTTAACCAATCTAGAACTTATAACCATGCTGCGTTATATTTTAGTTTAGAAACTTCCAGGGTAAGTTATTTACTTAATAAAAACCTTTTCTTTTTATGATTTATCACACTTGGTGATTTAAAGCAGGCCTGCACAACTCAAAATGTAAGGCGGGCTGTGATACTTTATGAAAAACTTGTGCGGGCTGAAAGAAAATAGGACAAGGATAAAAGCTAAAAAGAATATTTGGTTACTTTACGGGCCCCAATGTGGGTGCTGGCAGGCCACATGCAACCTGTGGGCCATTTGTTGTGCAGGCCTGATTAAAGTACGGTATTAAATTAAGTTTAAATATTATTAGTCAATGTACTATAAGACTAAGTTAACTAAGTTATAAGTATTTTCCATTCCTGAACCTACCCAATCTTCTTGAGGCTGAAAATTATCATCATTGCCTAATAATGCTTCGCTTAACTTCTCTTCTTCTCTCTTCTGCTCCTGATAAAATTCTTGTAAGGCTGCTAAGGCATGAGCAGAGAGCCCAGGTACCTCATCTGATTCATCTGACGACATTGCTATGTTTATACTGGAAACAGAGAAGCTATGTTAATAAACACTAAGGGCTAAGGGTATTAGTATATATTAGAAATTAGAAACTTAATAAACGACTAATTGACTAATTTTTACTCCATTAATAGTACTGGTAATGGTAACAGTATAGGTATAGGCAAAAGTGTTCAAGTTACTAAGTCTACTACTACTATCCCACTACTTCTAACATCATAATCACAGTTAAATTGGTAGGCTAAGTATTTACTAAGTTAGTAAGTAGTAATTAGTAAGTATTCTAGTTCTAGTATTAGTATAATATACTAACCCCAGTAGTGTGACTACCGGTACATCTAACCCAGTCTGAGTAGGGAAAGTACGCCTATTAATAGTTATTAATAAATCACCCACAAAGATTATTGATTATAATAACAAATATTAATTAAATTTTAATATTATTTTATCATATTTTAATAATTTTGTCCACCATTTTATAGTGTAATGAGTATTTGAGACTCTCAAAAACTCAATTTCTTTATAAAAATAAATTCAATTACTTTTTCATTGTCTACTACTACTACTATGAGTATGAGCATTACTATTAATATGGACGGTTATTCAAGACAATGACTATGACTATTGACTATGGGCCATAGTATGGCCCAGGGCATGGCATGGCCCATCCACCATGGCTTCAATTTCAATCAAATCAACTTTCGACGAAGTAGGGATACCTGAGCAATGGCCTAATAAGTTCACTAAGACTAAGAGTAAGGCTAATGCCTACTTATTAATACTAATGACTAATAGCTTCATACTTATTAATAATAGTAAGTAAATAGCAATGGCAATAGTAATACTAGTAATAGTATAGTATAAGTATAAGTTATAGGCATAGGCATAGGATAGGCTATAGGTATGTATAATGTATAGTATAAGTAGTAAGTAGTGTTAGTGCGGTGTTAGTTAGAAAGACTATTTTTTTTTAATTAGTAGTATTAGTAAAGTATTATATTATTGGTATTAAATCTATAATAAAATACTCATCAAATTATATCTGACCTAGAGAGTCGTGGTTTAAAAAAGCCGATTTAGATCAGAAAGAAAGTTAGAATAACAAGATAAAAAGGGGTTTAACCAGATTGGCTATACTATAACCTATAACCCCATAACACAGTGAGGAAGTTCCGGTTCTTGTTTTTTAAAATCCCTTTTCTTAAATTTTCCATCGTCTATTATTACTATTAAAACTTAGTGTGGCATGGTTCCCATCGGTGTCTACCACCCCTCCCTAATGACATTCACTTAAGACAAACCCCGGTCCCAAAAAGCATCAATGCAAATAATAATAATACTTTAAAAAAACAAAAAACATTCACCTTTATTAGGGTGAGTTTTACATTAACTCAAAATTAAAGATACATTTTAGAATTGAATGTTTTCAGTGAAGCACATTGAAATTTAAACTAGGCTCATTACCTAAAAAATAATAACAAAAATTACTTAAGATTGGTCTAATTTTTTAGTTTAGCGGCTGCTGCTATTTATACTTTTTCAGTGAAAACTGTGAATAGCCTTCATTAAATTAGTGATGCGCTAACTCACAACCGACACGGATCGATTAAAATATGCATGGAAAAGGGTCAAATCCTGCAAAATGCGAAAAGCGCAAGGGTTTCCGATGGATAAAATCGTGTTTTCCCCTGCAAATAGCATACATCTGTATCGAATTACGTCAAGCTCAAGGTGTAACGTACCGTATTTATTGGCGTACAATACGCAGGGAAAAAACTAAACATTGGCGTATAACACGCACGCATGATTTGCCCCCTATTTTCGGGGAGAAAAGTGCGTGTTATACGCCAATAAATACGGTTTTTACACCATAAATCTTTTGCTTAACTAAACAGTCTGTTACCAAGCTGGACGTTCTAATAATATCACCGTTTTGTTAATAGATTAGCTACAAGACTGTGGGTTGTGAATGAACCGTGGGAATCATGCGTAAAATTTGCCCGTGAACGCCGCCTACACCTTCCCCCTTGGCCTTGGGTTGCTTCCAAAATTATGTGTTATTTCTAAACTTGATTCCAGTAAGTTGTAGGGCTAATTAAAACAGACCAAATAATATATAGCCTATTTATATTTATTTATTTATTCTTTTAATCTTAAGTGTTCCTTTAAATTTAATTCACAATTTGGTCACCCAAAATTACTTAACCAAACCATGACAACTACAAATGATAAGAAAACAGATATTATATACACCAAGCCATTTGCTAAAGGCAGTGTCTACACGTCCGGCGCGCCGGACGTCTATCTCCCGCACTATGTGTCCGGCGACCAAGTCACATGACCGCCGTAACAAAGTGGCGAGAGATATCGTGTCGGTCAGCCTTGTCACGTGACTGCGAATAATTCAAAACTATTGTTAATTTTAAAATCTATTTCTCTACCAAGTAATGTACTGAGTATCTTGAATGCAAATAATAGAAAAAGAAACTTAAGTGAAAGTGGCTTGTAAACATTTTTGTTTAGTTTGTTATTTTTTGTGTACCAGTAATCCATAAAATAAATTAGGGGCCAGTGTGGCAACCAATAAAAGTTAAAGATTTCATTTTAGATTATTTCAATTGCTACAAAATATTTAAAAACTTCTCATGAAACTACTGTTGCTGAGGAACATGATAATATAAATATATACAAAATATTTAAATTAAAATGGGAAGAAAAAAAACGACCCTATCCCGGTATAGATCCTCAAACATTCCTATCGTCAAGCAACCACTCTACACAAGACCAGACAAGATGTACTAAATCTTACTTCGTTTGGAATTATAAAAACTACTAGCCGTCCGGCCATGTCCGGCGGTCACGTGACAAGTCGCCGGACGTGTATCTTGCGCATTACACGTCCGGCGCGGTAGACACTTCGTTTGCTAAATTCTCTCCGAATTTTTTTTTTTCCTTTTTCAGGGGCGTACCCCATAGCCCATAGCTTTATCTGAGAGGAGCTTTTTAGTGACTGGAACTTGTAAAGAGCCATTTGTGATCTACCAAGGAAAAATCCAAGCCAAGCTGTCTGGTCTTACAATTTTATAAATAATATATATTTCAATATTATAAACAAAAATTGTGGTTCAACTCTCCCCACTGTAGATTATATATTTACCAACCGAATCCATAGGTGACTTGTCAGTGGTTGTGATGGTAGGGGCGTCGGCTGACTACTTTCCCTGGCGCCCACAATGCTAGTCACCCTTGCCTTTATTCAACATAAACAAAAGGAGCTAATTTATTTTGAGTATGGAAAATGATTATTTTACTTTATTGGATTAAAAGTGACTGATAAATGTTCCTTATAAAATGTAAGTGGGTGTGTAGAGCCATCGCATGACATTTGGAGACTTCCCTGTCACGTTTTGGTTTGTGCATTCTACATTCAAGGTCGATAGTTCATTCCCCCCCCCCATCATAACTTTGGACCCTTTAAATATTCATTAACAGGTGAGCCTGCACCCCCTGGGGCTGCGGAAGGCCATAACTGGGGGTAAAAAAGACCCATAAACTTGTATTAGCTGAGATGTTTAGTTTTAGCCTATTTGAAAAAAAAAAAGGGTTATTTGCATAATGTAATATTGTGGCTATCTGTACTGGAGCATTTTTTGTTTCTTTTTAGCAAGTAAATTTAATAAGCAAATTTACCATACATGAATTAATTAAATATTTCTTCTTTTATTTAATATAATTTTTTATCTGGTCGGGGTCGGGTCAGGAAGGGGATGGGGTTGAGAATATTTTGAAATTTAGTGGGGTTATTGCCATGGTGCTGCAAAAAGGCTAAGAACTCCTGTTCTAAGCTTTGTTAACTTTGTTAAAATATGTAGGTCTATCTTGTTACGCTTCAAAACCAAAATAAAAATACATTATTTTAGGCCTAGGCTTTAAACTCATTGTTGCATTTGATTTATTTAAAACGCAAATAAACAATGCAAGATGTTGAGAAAAATAACCATTTATTCATTTTTTAAGATGAGTTTCTTGAAATGCCAATAAAAGAATGCAATGCACTGATATTTTAATGCAATTTACCCCAAAACACATCAAGGCAGTGGTGAATTAAGGATTTTGGTCTGCAGTAATATAGTAAAATTGATTTTTATATAAAATTTAAATTGTTATTTGTATTTTAATTATATTATAAGTAAATAACTATTTAAATTTGTGTTAGAGTACTTGTTAGAGATCTGTTATCTGACATGAATAGAAGTAGCTGCACCCCTAGCAATTTTCCAAGAGATGTTAGATCTCTGGATGGCATCCCTGAAAGGACAGTTTGAAAGGTTTAGATTTGTTGAGTTATAGACATTTTTCTCCACCCCAAATACAATAAATAGGTAAAAAATGTATATGGAGTGGAATCAAAAAGTAGGAAAACATTAAATCTTTACGGCCATCAATGGTTTCAGCCACAAACAAGAAAATTGTTTTCAGGCCTTTAAAATGATAAATAGGCTCCTTGATATTTGTAATTCATGTCTGGTGTAATAGATTTTCCTTCAAGATTGTGTGACAAATGAAGTGACTAAATTGTTAATCCACCACTAAATCAAGATTGCAAAGAGGTAATTAAGTGATTTAAACTTGAAATAGTGATATTTTAAGCTGGCCTAAAAAGTGATTATAACAAAAAAATCAGCATGCCCCCAGTAGTTCATTGTTTTTTAAAACTGTGAAAACATTTTTAATAAAGGAAAGTTATTCAGTGACGTGATGAATAATCAAAAACTTCATTTTTTATTTAAATAAGAGGAAATTAAATGAAGAAACTTTTAGAAAAGAAAGAAAGAAGATTAAACTACACAAAATAATTTAAATGAAAATGATTTCAAATTCATTACTTATCAGTTGAAATGTTTTGATAAAATAATTTCTTTTAAATTATAGGGTAAAATAATTTTTTTTTTGTATGATCATATCTTGATTTATTTTGTGTTTTATTTGTTAAAGATAAGCTGCAAAACCGTTAGATCCCATAAATTTAGTTATAATAATAATTTAGTGTTTTTTGCTTCAGTTTACAAAATGAATTATTCACTTAGCTTTATTTAAAATTAAAGTTTTAGTTCGTAATTAACAGCCTAAATAGTTATGTGACATGGCTTAAAAAATATTTTTAGTTAAAAGTATATTTTGTAGTTGGAGACTGAGTTATTCTAATTTAAAAAAATAATTACATCTGTAAAGAGACAACTTTATTAATGTTAAAAGGAAAAAAAAATGAAAATTTAAAACAGAACCCTTGCAGTGGTACTACCAGATATGAAAAGGAAAATTATGTGCTCTGTGCAAAATATGTAGACCAGAAATCTTTATTTTTTAAAGGCAGTAAAAATCCTTTATAAAAAATAAATCTTGGTAGTTATTTTCAATACAAGAAAAAGGCAACACAGAAGGCGCATGTTGCAATTTCTTTTGTTCTTTAGTATGACTGTATTTTAATTTTTAGAGCACAAAAATGGGTTAAAATGTTTGAATTATGATAATCAGTAATTTCAATGAGTATATAAAATTATGCCACGCTCATTCACTTCACTTTAGTTGTTAAAACATCCTCTCAGATTGACATATCGTAAGATGAGTGAGAATTTGGTGTATCTAATTATAAATGGAACAATATTAGCAAATATTAAATAAGTAAAATTTATTAAAATGTATATGATTAAACGTGTAAGAAATTATAAGATTTCATATGAACCCACCACTTGGCTAGGTTAAGTTTTCACAGAGATTGTATGACATGCTCTAAATGACTTTTTGACGTATAGCTTATTAATTTTCATGCTCCAACTTATTATGACATATTTCAAAAGCTAAAATAAATGAAAAAATCCCAATTTTTTAAAAACTTTCTAAATAGAAAATATAATTTTAAAGACACCATAATGAATGTTTAAAAACATACTATTTGAATGTTCTGATAAATTGCTTGGTAAATGAAATGCAACACAAACATAGAAGTAATGAAAAAAAGAAACTTTTAGACTAATAAAAGTTAATAGGTCTAAAACTCTAATTAATACTGTACAGACTTATTAAGCATTATGGAGTTTTAACGGTATCAATTAATTTGAACAGTAAGAAAGTTAACTAAAATCATATTTATACACCTAAAAATAAATATTTACATATTCTTTGCTATTTATTGTTTGAATTAGACTAACTGTGTTGAACTGAACAATAATTATTACAATAAATGTTGAATAAAGTTTTAATATTTACTATATTTCTTTAAAGTCCAACAACAAATTAAATTGAATACCTTGACTAGAAGTTTAACTTTTAATTTTTAATTTTATAAAAAAATGATTTGTCAGCAAGCTAACATTAAGCTAATGGTTCCACACATTGAAAGCATTTTGAAGGTTTGAAGCAAAGTATGAATAATGGAAGCTTTTAGAAAATAATATTTTTTCAAAATGAATATTTACAAAGTATATACAAAGTTAAACTTACAATCACAATACCAAAATCACTAAACCAATTTTAATTGCAACTACAGAGTGTGCAAGAGTTAAGAAATATAGGCATACTAATTAGAATTTTATTGCAAGAATAAACACACACAAAATAACACCCAAGCAAAAGAGATATTGTGAAATGTCAAATTGAGTAATTTTTTCCCCTTCAAATTAGTTATGATAAAAATAAAATGGTAAAGCCAAAATCATTTGACATGGCTGGATATAAACTATAAATCAACATATCTATACTTATTTTGGTTGATTTGAATAAATTAATACTGAAGGAAACACAAACTGTCTGTTGAATGATTTGTTGGTTAGTAAGTAAAATAATGTTTTATTTTTCAACTTTAGCAGTTCTATTAATATGTCTGATATTTTAACTGGTCAACAGGTGTAAAAATATTAAAAACACTATTCTCTAAGATTATTGATGGAGAAGTTTTAAGCTTGTAAATTATTGCTTTATCCTATTTAGAAATTCTAGTTATCTTGGTTTAAGATATACATGTGAAAGTTTAATATTATAATATTTTTAAAAACTTCTATTTCTTTTTATGTGTATAATTAGCGTAGCATAGAAAAGTCTAAACATAATTTTCATATTAAATTTAAAAAAAAAAAGACAAAAGAAATTATTATAAATAATGCATTAAAATGACTTTCCTAAAAAGATTCCTCTTATTTTGGTTTATTTTAGAAAAATACTCTTCAATAGTAAAGAAAATGATGAAATAGAGAATATTGCACATTATTTGAAGGATGCATAAAAATATGAAAATAGAGCCAGTAAGAGATATGATTCACTAAAATATCTACATTGATAATCACAGAGAAATAAAACACAGTCAAAGGTTCACTCAGCAATAGAAGAAATCCAAAGAGTAGGAAAGGCCTAATTATTAACAGTTACAATTAACATTAAAACAATAAGAAGCAAATATATTACTACTGGTATAATAGAAAGGATGACAAATAAAAGTAAAGCATGGCTAAAATATGTGATTTAGAATATCTTTACATTTTAACTAACAGAAGGGGTGGTAAGAAATCTCCTTTTAATTTATTACAATTTAATTATAAAGACTTAACTTTCTTTCTTGTTTAAAAGCACCAGCCTAAGTACACAACCACAACTTGCCAAATGCAAACATTTTTTAAAAAATCATTGAAATCATTTTTACAACTATACATAATAACATATTTGTAACATGCAAAAGAATATCTTTCATCCATGAAAACTGAAAACTGAAAATAATTATAAAAATGTGCCATTTGTTCAGGATTTAAATGAGTTGCTCAATAGCATATTCCTTACAATGGCTTTTGAGTTTCAAATTAATGACACATGATACATTAATGCCTTTGATGAGAATATTAAGTTTTCAAATTAAGTCTAAAAGAACTTTGAAATTATAAGTAATAGTACTGGATATAATATTAAGACTAAATGAACACATTTATTCAATAAAATGTAATTGCTTTTAAAATTTATTTACGAAATGCACTTGCCATTGTAAACCAATTGACAATAATAATTCAGTCTGTCAGTTCCAAATTAAATGTCCATACATTTCATTATCTTAGATTTGGAATGTTAGACATTCTAGTAAATAAATGTGACATTTGTAGAAATAAAAAAAAGAAAGGTTTAAAAATATTTATAAGTTCAAAGCATTTAAAATAAAAAATTATTTAAAAATTACTTTAAAAGACACTAAATCCCTTAACTTTTTTACGTTCTTCTAACTTTAAACTTTATTAGTTTTTAAGGTAATTAATAAACGATTTTCTGCCTTGGAAAAAAATTATGTTAGGGCTTACCATTTTTATTACAATGGTAAAAAAAAAATTATATTTCATTGAAATTTCAATATCTAAGAAAATAATTTTTATCATACCAGCTGTACAAAACCATATGTTGATGACACACATAAGAAGTCAAAGATGTAGTTAATATCAGAGCAATTATAGAAATAGACATGTAAATATTCCATACAAATGATGCCAAACATACATAACTATCAAAGAGAAGTAAGAAACAATTTAAAGCTGATCCTCTATTCCCCCCTTTTGACTGTTAGTCAGAGATTTCCTCTTCTTGGTTTCCTGTAAGTCAAAGTCTGGTCCATCATCAAGGGCAGGGTGTGCATCTATCTGCAACTCCTTTTTAGATAAGTGCTCCACTACTGCTGCTCCATAACTATCACCTAGCACATTCGTGGATGTACGGAAGCGATCTCTGAAGAAACAAAGTTAAATTCAGAGAATTGAGAAATCAATGAAAAGAATCAACTCAACTATTACATATAATGTTAAAAAAATACTTCAAAAGAAATAGAATAACAATTTATCATAACTTTAACTTGAATTTAAACCTTGATGAAATGACTTGAATTTATTTTTAAATGTACAAACAGAGATTTAATTGAAGCATTTAGATCTAAAGTCAGGACAAACCAGTTATTATTCAATTTTGCAATTTAAAATAATGAAAAAACTACATAGAAATGTGTTAGAAGAAAAAAATGTTATTAAATTTCTTTATAGTAATATTATAGCACTATTTTTCTAAGTTCTTAAAAATAAAATCAATCTGTGTTAACAAAAATACCTATGTGGTTACTATAATTATAGAGACAAAAAGTTTTTACTTACAAGAACCAGTCAACAGCTAAAATCAAACTAATATCATCAGCTGGTAGACCCACAGATGTTAATACCATAATCATGGTGACTAATCCAGCACTTGGTATTGCTGCAGCTCCTATACTGGCACAGGTTGCAGTTAAGCTGAAATAAACCTTGTTATTTTTAGCTTGCCCGTGTGGCTCAATACTACAATTTAATGGCCTGGTATTAATAAAACAAATAATTGAGTAGATTCTATTGTCAATTAAATTGAAGGGTTATATATAATTTTTTTTAAGGTCCAAAATTGTTCTGGCAGCTATATGGTAACATAACTGGCAAAGTTACAGGCATTTTGCCCAGTGTAATGCACCATAGTGTTTTGTGACAAGTTGGCCCAGTATTTCTGACTTGAGCAAGCATTTTTCATTCTGGTCAGAATGCAGTCAAATCTTTTTAAATTCATTTCCTCCTTCATATTAATGGCTTCTCTACTGGGCTAACAAGTTCATTCCATTTGTTCCTGAGAGACACGCAACATTACTACAACACCACAGAGTCTTTATTTTTATGTTAGGAGGTAATGAAAAATACTCATTGATTAATTTTTGATTATGTGCTTGAATGTTACAATGCTGCAAAATGTTAGGACTTCAGGTCAAAAGTATATGTGATAATTTTACATCTTTGAAAATTTTTTTAATTAATATTTAAAAGAAAAGAGCTTTGTATTATAAACATTTCAAATATTTTTTTTGGGTCAATGCTATGGTAATAAGATGCTTTAAAATGATTATATGAATGAAATTTATTTTGTGAAATTTGACATGTCACTCATAATTGATGTATAAAGGTTAAAATTTATTATTTTAAATTTGACTTGTAAAATTGTTATGAGTATGAGTAATACTAATTTCTGAAAAATCCAACTGAAACTTGAAAGAAATTATAAAAGGTAACAATTGTAAAAATTTTTTGATATACCTTATTGCCACAATCTCTCCAAAGCCCAATTCAATGCCATTCATTTGTGCTATGAAAATTGGGGCCACTGCCTCATAGAGAGCCGTCCCATCCATGTTAATGGTAGCACCTATAGGGAGGACAAACCGTGTCACCCTCTTGTCGATGTTTAGATTTTCTTCCAGGCACCTAAAGGTAACAGGCAGAGTTGCTGTGCTGGAAATAGAAGGGAACAAAAATGAATAAAACAGTTAGGATAGCTGGCAACATTAATTTCTTTTTTGACTTTCAACTATTAGTAGGTGGTATTAAATAGGGTTTAAGCACATTTTATAGTTACTATAGGATGAGTTTCATGTTCAATGACCAAAATGATTAATGAAAATTAACACATAATGATAGTAGGATTAGGCAAAAAAATTAAAAATAAATAACTATTAATTATATAAAAAGATTTCTGATTTCACAAAATATGAGCATAAAATGAAAAATGAAATGACAAAGAATTTCTTTACCTAGATGCAGTTCCAAGGGCCGTCACCCAGGCCTGGATTATCCCCCAGAAGATCAGGTAGGGATTCTTGCGAGCAATGATGAAATAGATGGCAGGTAAAATAACAAATGTGTGGATGGTTAGACCTAACAGGATGGTGATCATGTACATGCCCAGCTGGGCACCTACTTTAGCTGGGTCATCAAGCTCAAGAATTTTGCCAGTGATCAGAAACATAATACCTATAGGTGAGTACCTGTGAAAAGAATACTTTAGCTTCATTTTCCAAATTCTCATTGATAATGAGAAATAATGGCTGCAATAAATATTTTTCCTTTAGTAGTTGAAACTTTAGACCATGTAGTATAACCATTTTTGAATATAAATTGATTGTTTAATAGATAATATTCATATGCTGAGTAAAATTCGTTTTGCAATAACATATTATATTATAACATTATATTTCACTGAAAATAACTAAATGAAATAGGACTTCTTTTTCCTTACCACATGACAATGGTGACCATCTTCATAATGATCTCATTCAAAACCTGGAAGAAATCTATCATTATCTGACCTCTTGACCCCATATTACTAATCAGGATACCAAAAGCAGTACAGAATGTGATGATACCTGATTATAGAATAAAAATAATAAAACACTTGTTTAATTCCTCATCCTTTCATAAAACATGAGCACAACAATCTAAGAATACATTGTTATGGGTGGAAAGAATGAAATAACCATGAAGTAATAATTGCCATTAAAAAAAAAAAACTTGATTTTTTGTGTGTATCTACATAGGTATAAAGTTATTGACAGTGATAAAAACATAAGGATATCTAGGGGGAAGTATTTTGTTAGTTTAAATAGATTTAATGATTTTTGTATGCAAATCTTTCTTGTCATGAATGATTTTGAAAATGTTTTTATTTCCATGACAAAATATTGAAAATTAAGAAATGAGCAGTGATCTTCAAATTCTGTTCTCGACCAAATTTGTTTATATGATCAGTATAATATACAACTTTTTAAAAGAGTATAATCCAATCGGGTTAAATAAGTAAACACACATTTTGGATAAATAAGAAAATAGTGTTCGGTAATAAGGAAAAAATGTTTTAAAAAATTAAGAATTAAATACAATTAGTGGGCCTTTATTATGGTGCCCAAAACACTTTTTCTCTTAATAGTAAATACTCACCAAGAACGTTAACTCCATCTGCCATAGGGTATTTCCGAACCCAACTTGTAACTGTTTCAGTTATAATAGTTTCATTGCTTGAGTTGCTAACAATAGTTCTCTGGGTTGTGGTGATGACAGTTGTGATGGTGGTGAGAAGGCTGTTATTGAAATCTACCAGCACAGAATTGGTTGGCTTTGTCACTATGAACTCTTCTGGTTCTTCCTGTTCATAAACTGTCATCGAATGCTGGAAGCAAGCTTGAATTATATTGGGTGGGAAGATGTTTCTGATAAGAAGAGAGAATTTATTCTTGATGAATAAGCAGCCCAGTTAATATTATTTTTTAACAATAAATTTTAAATTATTTAAACAATTTTTTTTTTCACAATTTTTTGCTTCATCATTGATATGTATGTCAGTTATTTGTCTTTGAAAATTGAAATCATTTGAGGATCCATCTATTGTTATTAATTATGTTCTTGGAAGTTAAGTGCATCACACATTTAAATACAGGTACCGGTACTTAAGAACAAGTGCAAAACTATTTGAACACACACATGGTTTTGTCAGATGGCAGAAGCAATGATCAAAACTACCATATAAAGTTTATTCCTACTCTCTGTCTCTCAAGAGAGAGGAGAAGAAAATGTTTCACCTTATTAAGTCAAGGAAAGCATCTAAAGAAGACGCTGATCTTTTTTCTCTTTTACTCCTCCTCCTAATTCCCCCATCATATTCACCAGGGTGGATGCTAAGAACAAGAACTATGCCTAAGATGATAGCTACAAATGTTGTTGATAAGTAGTACACAATGGCACGCAGGCCCATTCTTCCTGAGTTTTTAGCATCTAATGATGCCAGACCTGAAAGAAATAAAATATTTACTGAATAGATTTAAGTATTTTCAAAAGCACATTAAACCTTGATAGATCATGTTATTTTAATAAATGAATCCAGAAAAAAATGAAAATGTGCAAAATATTAATTTAATTATTATTTCAATTATGCTACAAGCTCACAATTCTAATAAACAATGTCATGGCCTAAAAAAATAGGGGAGGGTATATGAATTTTGTGACGATTTGTGGGGCAAAATAAATTATAAAAAATTGCGTGACGTCATTTATTTATGGCCCCTTGCTGGTAGCTATAGTTACGAGAACACATTTTTTTTCCACATACCTGTAATCATACTACTGATGATCAAAGGTACAATCAACATTTTTAGCATCCTCATCAACAGATCTCCTGGAAAGGAGACTAACATGATTGCGTCGCCTGACATCTGAACTGGCCGCAGGGCGAATCCAAATATTATACCCAGGACCACGCCGGTTACTGTTAAAACTAAAAGCAGATTTTTCCTGCACCATTTTGGAGTCTGGAATGAAAACAGAGTATAAAGTTTAGCACTTCAGAATCATATAGGCCTGCGTATTCTTTTGCATAATGAAAATAATATGTATTTAAAAAATAAAAACAACTTAAAATCTTTTGAAGCGATTATGAGAAAGAAACCTTCTACAACTGCTTACAAAGCACAGTCTTCTTAATTGGGTACAAGAGTTGGAAGCAAGAATGCAATTAGCAAAGGAACACTTTCGGAAAGCAAAAACTGGCATGTGTAACCAAGAAGACAGCTAGAGAATAGAATATGAGAAGAGAGAAACGCTAAATTTGAGCCATTGAACCACCAGCTCTCACAGACATCCGTAAGACTGAAGGATCTCCAGCTCTCACAGACATACCTAAGGTTGAAGAATCTCCAATTCTCACAGACATCCCTAAGGCTGAATAATCTCCAACTCTCACAGACATCCCTAAGGCTGAAGAACTCCCAACTCTCACAGACATCACTAAGGCTGAATAATCTCCAACTCTCACATACATCCCTAAGGCTGAAGAAACCCCCGCTCTCGCACACATCCCTAAGGTTGAAGAACCCTCATGTTACGCACTGACTTGTATTGGGAGAAATTGATCTCCTATTTTAATTTTAATTGGCTCGTTGTAAACAGTGCCTAACAAAGGACGATACTATAGAATCAACAATATTAAATATATGACCCAAAACAGTTTCTAGTTACAATTAATTAAGATTTATTATGTCTTAAGATAATTACAAAAGAAAAGAAAAATATAATTACAATCTTCAACTTACAGTATGGTAGATCTTGTACCGGTACACAGTTAACACAGTTAGAATAATGTGCCAATAAATAATGCGAAATAAACACATATAAGCTCACAAATACACAAAGAATAAAACACGCCTCGTAATGTTAAGAAAATCTATCTGAATCTCCGTCCTCTTGTCCGTGCCTGTCAATCCCTTATATAGGTGGGTCTACCGACGCCTAAGCCCTGCCTTCGATAAGCTACACGGCATTTCTAGAAAAATCCCATTTATTCTACAAAATACTATTTGGAACAGATTAATTATTTTTAGTGGTTGGCGGTGTAAACAAGAATACATCAAAGGCCTAAGCCACACCCCTTTGTGAACACAGCGTCTCATGCGGGGTCAATCAGAGGGCACGCACGAGAAATATTATGTAAACAAGCTGTCTATAACACCTCAGCTCTCAGAGAAATCCTTAAGGCTGAAGAACCTCCAGCTCTCACAGACATCCCTAAGGCTAAAGAATCTCCAACTCTCACAGACATCCCTAAGGCTAAATAATCTCCAACCCTCACAGACATCCCTAAAGCTGAAGAATCTCCAACCCTCACAGACATCCCTAAGGCTGGAGAATCTCCAACCCTTACAGACATCCTTAAGGCTGAAGAACCCCCAGCTCTCACAGACATCCTTAAGGCTGAAGAACCCCAAGCTCTCGCAGAGATCCCTAAGGCTGAAGAACCTCCAGCTGTAGCAGCCATCCATAAGACTGAAGAGAGCTTAAACAATGATTTAGAAACTAAAAGAAGCCATAAAAAGAGGCCGATAGAAAAAATTGTTCCCATTGCACCAAGCTTGGTCTAAAAGGACTGAATGAATTTATTTGAATTTTTAACAGCCCCTTCCGCTCCTGACCGAACACCTCGCCCTAATCTCTATTCGCCATAATATTTAGATGATTACAAAGTTAGCCCTCCATCAGTGCCAGTTAGGAAGCCAGACTTTTTAAACAAGTGATGTACAAAAAAAAATCAGAGTTCTCTATGTAATAGAATAATCAGGAGACATCACATATGCAGAAATTACCTTTCGTTGTTTTCCCCTAACGTTTCGGTGGTTAAATTATTACGGCAGTTGAACTAAGTTTAATTTTTAATTTTTTTTTTTTTTTTTGCGTGTGGCTAGAATGGTGACGACAATGACATTAATAGCCCAACAATACTAGCCAAATGTTTTTTTGTTAATCTTGTTTTTTAAAAATATGTTTAAAGTGATTAAAATTATTTCATTCTACGACTTCCAGCTACTACAGGCCGCTATCTTATTTTAATTTTATTTCCTTAATAGGTATACCGATCTCAGTTATCTGGCAAAAATTAGATGAAAATTAGTCTTTAGGTAATGCATTAGGTAATGCTTTAGGTAATGCATTAGGTAATGCTTTAGGTAATGCTTTAGGTAATGCTTTATGCCTAGATCTCGGGCGGTTGCGAAATAGTGATCTAAAATATGGCGAATCGTCACCATTCATTTCAATAGGAATAAAATACAATGAAATATTCCCCGTTGCATGTATCTATCTACAGCAATACAACGAACAATATTCCCCGTTATACATCTATATATAGCAATACAATTAATTTCAAATAATGATTCCTTACAGCACTGAGACAAGAGACGCAATTCCCCAGAGGGTCAGTCCTGTCTGTAAATTTAACTCCCGGGTTCTTGTCCTTCTGGTCAGAGCTCATCATGGGCTCCCCTGCTCCTGACTCGGCCATGGTTCACTCACTGGGACGCAGTTGTCCACTCTCCCCGGCAGTCAAAGACAACCTGCAATGATAAACAAATGGTAACGGGTCAAGTTTAAAACGAGATGTTTACATTTGTTTGCTGCGGTCTTCTTTGGAATTGAAAGAAGAAGAACAAAAAACAGCGCTATCTCGAAGTCACGAAAAAACAATATAAAAATAAAAACTACTTCAGTTCGACCATCTATCTAGAGCAGTGGTTCTCAACCTTCTTAATGCTGCGACCCTTTGATACGGTTCCTCGTGTTGGGGTGACCCCCAAACACAACATTATTTTCGTTGCTTCTTCATAACTGTTGAATATATATGTTTTCCGATGGCCTTAGGCGACCCCTGGGAAAGGTCGTTTGACCCCCCCCCCCCCCAAGGGGTAGCGCCCCACAGGCGGAGAACCGCTGATCTATACAATCTTATTTACATTACTCATAACTCCTTTCCCCTACATTATTTTCGTTGCTTCTTCATAACTGTTGAATATATATGTTTTCCGATGGCCTTAGGCGACCCCTGGGAAAGGTCGTTTGACCCCCCCCCCCTAAGGGGTAGCGACCCACAGGCTGAGAACCGCTGATCTATACAATCTTATTTACATTACTCATAAGTCCTTTCCCCAAGACTAACTAGGTTTCAGGCTGTGTTTATATATTATACTAGCGAGTACCCGGCATGCGTTGCAATGCCACTCAAAGAAAGAAAGTGTTTGTGTTTTAACTGTTTTTTGAAGTACTTTTTATAGAGACTCTATTTTTGTTTTTCCGTCTGGTGCGTACACGAATAAATTAGAAGGTGTTTGTTTTTATGCATGAGCAGGCCACATGCAGCTGTCCGTGGGAGCAGGCCACATACAGCTGTCCGTGTGAGCAGGCCACATACAGCTGTCCATGTGAGCAGGCCACATACAGCTGTCCATGTGAGCAGGCAACATACAGGTGTCCATGTGAGCAGACCACATACAGGTGTCCATGTGAGCAGACCACATACAGGTGTCCATGTGAGCAGGCCACATACAGGTGTCCGTGTGAGCAGACCACATACAGGTGTCCATGTGAGCAGACCACATACAGGTGTCCATGTGAGCAGACCACATACAGGTGTCCATGTGAGCAGGCCACATACAGGTGTCCATGTGAGCAGACCACATACAGGTGTCCATGTGAGCAGGCCACATACAGGTGTCCATGTGAGCAGACCACATACAGGTGTCCATGTGAGCAGGCCACGTACAGGTGTCCGTGTGAGCAGGCCACATACATGTGTCCGTGTGAGCAGACCACATACAGGTGTCCATGTGAACAGGCCACATACAGGTGTCAATGCGAGCAGACCACATACAGGTGTCCATGTGAGCAGACCACATACAGGTGTCCATGTGAGCAGGCCACATACAGGTCTCTATGTGAGCAGGCCACATACAGGTGTCCATGTGAGCAGGCCACATACAGGTGTCCATGTGAGCAGACCACATACAGGTGTCCATGTGAGCAGGCCACATACAGGTGTCCATGTGAGCAGGCCACATACAGGTGTCCATGTGAGCAGGCCACATACAGGTGTCCATGTGAGCAGGCCACATACAGGTGTCCATGTG